ACCCTAATTAAACTATATATATATATATATAGGCCTTTAGAAAACCCTAATTAAACTAGAGCTAAGGCAGAACCCTAATTAAACTAGAGTCGGCCCATAAATTTAAGTCACATACACGTTAAATACTTGTATGACGGCTCCAAAAAACCCTAACTGAAAACTATTAATTCAACTTCTACTTAAGCACTTAATAAAGACAATTAAATAATTAACCAAATAAGGCATTTAAAATACAATTTAAAATAAAACAAACAATACAATAACTCAGATAACTAAACAAACCATAATTCAAATAAAGAAAATAATTAACCAAATAAGGAAATACAAATACACAAGTAACCATTTACAAATAATTAAATAAAACAAACAAAATACAACAATTACAAAATCAATAGACAAAAATGCACATAGAATAAAATTTAAATCCCAATTTTATCCTTTTTAATTTTAAGGGTATTACACATCACTAACATGAAAATTGAAACCAGTTTATAATCAACGAAATCAGAATTTGAGCAAGAATAATTATCAACCACAAAATAGTTTTATTCAACGCAGTTTAAATTCAATTCAAGTATGCATATAAGATATATTTTAGTATTAATTTAAACCCTGGAGTCTACCTAGGTATGCACTAAACACATGTTTAAGGGAAGGAGTTAGAATAGGAACTTGCCTTCGGTTTCAGTTTTGAAACCTTAAACCTCCGTCTTTGAGTTTTTTTGACAGATTCTAGACTGTCGTTTAACCCCTCCATTGCTCTTGGTTCAATCCAAAAGCAATCCATTCCTTCCTTCTTTAGCCTCTCTGTTTCACTCTCAAGTTTTTCTCTGTTTTCCTCTCTACCTTCTCAGTATTTCGTCGCCTCCACTATTACGTGATTAGGGTTCTAAAACCCTTAGCAGACTTATACAAGTATATATATAGGCCAATCTTTTAACCTTAATTCTAATCATATTAAGAGACGGAAAATTAAAAGAGAAATAAAACTAGTCGGCCAAAATCTTAATTACCTAAACAGAATATAAAACCCTAATTAAACATTTAATGAAAGCAAACAATTAAATTTCCACCTAAGCATACATTAATGAAAACAAATAATTTGACTAAATAAAAACAATTAAACAAAAATTCAATTTAAACAAAAACACATAAATAATTAAATAAAATAAAAATCACAACTAAACAAATAGGCAAGTAAACAAATAAGCTAAAAAATGCAATAAAACATTAATTAAAATGCCGAGACTATCCTTTTAAAATTAGGGGTATTACAGTGTGTTAGTGGGGGGAACTAATTCCCATGTGGAGTTTCGAACAAGAGCATCAAATTCATCGCACATAGCGGTACGCCATTGTGGATGTTTTTTTACTTGTGATATGGATGTGGGCTTTATTGGTTCGGGTAAGGTGTGGGCAGTGGTCAAAATTTTTTTTTCTTGGGTTTAAAAATATTATGTTTTGATCGAGTGATCATGGGATGAGTTGAAAGGGATGGTGGTGGTTTTTGGGATGGTTGATTCGAAGGATTTATGGGCGAGAGATTTCTTACTTTTGGTGATGAAGAATCCCGTGACTTGCTGGACGGAGATGTGGAAAGTAAATCTCCATGAGTTGGCGACGTGGATGATGATAAATTGAGAGATTGTGATGTGGAAAAGGGAGAAGATTGCGACTAGGGATTCAATGAATTATCTCTATAGTATTCGGTGGGCTTGGAGTTAATTAAGGTATTGGAATTTGGAATGGCCGAATCAATGGATGGGGCGCAGACGTGGGTAGCTTCCTGGAAATTAGGAAAATTTGTTTCCTGAGTTATACTCGTGACTATAGGGATATGAAGATTCGATGGTGACAAATTTAGGGAAGGCCAAGTAGCTTAAACATCGTTGTAGACTCTAGATTCATGGGATTGGAGGTTTTGAAATGGGAAAATATCTTCCACAAAAATAATATGACGGGAAAGGAAAACTTTTGATGTAGTCGGATTAAGACATTTGTATGAATTGTGAGTCATTGAGTAACCTAGTAACACACATGGTCTTGACCGTAGTTCTAGTTTATGGTTAGAATAAGGTCGTAACCATGGATAGCAGAGACAGCCAAATGTCTTGAGTTTATGATAATTGGGTGAAGTGTGGAACAAATTTTCAAATGGTGACTTATTGGCAATGATTGGGGTTGGTAGTCGATTAATGAGGTAAGTAGCGGCTTGAAAAACAATCGACCAGAACTTGAGAGGAAGAAATACCTGATGAAGAAGAGTTAAGCCAGTCTCAACGACATGGTGATGTCGTCTTTCAACCGTCCCTACGACTTGAGGGGTGTGTGATGGAGAGATAAGATGTTGAACGCCCAGTTTAGAAAGAGTTGGATGTAGACCTTGATATTCTCCTCCACTATCAAAATATACTATAATGATTGGTGTTTGGAAATATTGTTCAACTGTGTTTTTGAAATTTTCGAATACATTTGTGACATTGGATTTGTATTTAATAGGATAAATCCAGGAAAATTTTGTGAAATAAAAATCACGTAAGATTGAAAATTATCAAATGATGTAATTGGGGCAGGTCTTCAAACATCTGTAAAGATGATTTCCAAAGGTTTATTGCTGGATAAAGGTGAGACACCAAAGGAAAGTCTATGGCTCTTATTACATAAGCAAGAATTACATGTATCTTGAGATGATTTTTCCAAAACAAGAAGAGATTGACACGAAACGATAGATTTTAAGACTCGAATAAACGGGTGACCCAAACGATGATGCCATTGATTAAGAGAGACTTTATTGGAGAGAAAAACTTACGGCTTAGATGGGCTTGAGGTGGTCGACCACTCATATAGATTTCCTTTACTCCGGCCTTGGACGAGCATTGCCCCCGTGTTCAGATTTTTCACAACAAACAAAGATGGGAAAAATTCAATTAAGGTTTTATTTTGTTGGCAAAATTGTGATACATATAATAAATTTTTACGGATTAATGGAGCATACAGAACATTATTAAGTGTAAAAACAGAATTAGGGGTAACAAGCTGAGTGGATCCAGTATGAGTAATTGGGACACCATTACCATCATCGACGAGAATATCGTCATTGCCGCCATAATCTGAATAGATTGATATATTTTGGAGATCTAAGGTTATATGGTGAGATGCTCCAGAGTCCACCATCTAATTGTTGTTAGTATTTGAAGAGCCCCTAACTGCAAAGTTGGCCTGTGGTTCATAGTATGGTGGTGACTTGGATTTGCAGTATTTGGCGGTGTGCCCGACCTTGTCGCATAGTTGACAGTCAACTCGTGGCCGATTATTGTATGAGGGACAACCTTGTTGCTCGAAATGTCTGTTGCCTTGTTGAGGACGATTTCCCTGATAGCTTTGATTCTAGGAATTATTGCCATGATTAGAATTCTGCCATTTCTTGCGGTTCCAATTATTGCCATTGGATTTGTTGAAGGTTTTCTGAGTGAGTTGAGCGGTGATGGTTTGACTTTCTTTTCTAGATTCCTCACATTTTATGAAGATTTCATGATCCAATAATTTGTCGTGTAGCTCTTCGAAAGTAATAGGAGTATCACGTGCTCTAACAGTAGCATTAATCTCCTTGAAGTCTGGTCCTAATCGATTTAGGACACTGATAACCAATTCTACATTAGCTAAGGAGACCCAACGATAGCACGTTCATCTGTGATGGATTTGATAGTCTTCATGTATTCGGCAACTGAGATTCCTTCTTTGGACGTTTTGGCTAGTGTTTTATGGAGGCCAAAAATACGAGTATGAGGTCTATTGGCGTATGTTTTATTGAGGCGTTCCCATGCCTCTTTAGTTGACTTTGCAGAAGCAACCAGCGTAGCAACAATATCGGTGACTGAGCTGATGATGGCATTCATCAGCAGACTATCTTGTCTTTTCCAGATTCTATATTCAGGACTTGTGATGGTTGCATTACCTTTTTTGATGAGAGTTGATGGTTGGGTGTAGATGCCATTGACAAACCCCATCAGATCATACCTTTCTAGGAAAATAATGATCTGGGTTCTCCAGGTGGGGTAGTTTCTGCTAGTAATCTTGAGAGGAAGGTGAGCAGCATTGAAGGCAACAACGGAGTTGACAGATGAATTATTGCCAGGGGTGATAAAAGTAGGATTCGAGGTGGATTCTCCAGAGATTGACGCGTCGGCCATTTGGTATACGACGAGATAGGAAATCGGATGTGAGAATGAAGGTTTGGCTTAAACAAGGAATAAGGATGAAAAAAAGTGAAAAAGGAAAAAAAAAAAAAATGCTTGTTAAAGCAAGACAGACTCTAATACCATTATAAAACACAAAGAATTATGAAATTATCCTCACCTCTCTATTGTCTGTACATTGCTCAATATATACAAAATAGTGATAGATAGAAAAAAAAAAACATGCCCCTAATTACATGCTATAATGGTGGATCGTGATATTTATATAATTGTATAGAGATAAATATGGAAAGTTTGATCTAGTCGTTAGGTAGGCGAGATTGGTGGAGCTTGATGTGTGATCTTTCTTTCAGGTGGCGGCAGTGGTGGTGGTGAAAGATGGTGGCGGCAGTGGTGGTGGAAGGTAGTAGTGGTGGTGGTGAAAGGCTGTGGCGATAATGGTTGTAACAAAGGAAGGCGGTGGCAGTAGTGGAAAACGGTGGGTGGTGGTAGAAGGCGGTGGTAGTGGTAATGGTGGTGGTGGAAGGCGGAGGTGGTTGTGGTGCAAGGTTGTGATACATGAAGGTTTTTTTGGAAAGTTGATTTTTTTAAAAAAATTAGTTGGGAATGAAATGATTATTACATAGATTTAGTTGTGTAATTAATTTTTATTCTAATAGAATGGATATTCCCACTCCAAATTAATACCAAACAAAAGAATGGTTAAAATAACAACCAAACGCACACAAGTTTCAAATTTTGTTGTCAGTATTGTGGCATGGACTAGGGTCCGAAGAGGCTTCAAATTCCATTCCATTGTTTCAAAGTCCAAACAATAAAAAATTCCTTTCCTTTCCTTTCCCCTCCCCTTCACCGCCCTTTGTCTTCCACGGAAGTGAGTAACTATTTTCTTTTCATATCAAAAGAACAAAAACTGGTGGTCTAGTGTTATATTTTTAGGGCGAGAGTGAGATTAGATCTGATATCGAAGTAAATGGCGAAGTGTGGGATGAACCACTCAGCAACGTTCATCAAAGTCTTGTTGTTGATGATAGTCACAGCCTTTATCTGCGCATCATCATCCGAAGCAGCCTCTACCAAATTCGTCAAGAAAACCATCTCCTCTCACTCCATCGTCATCTTCTCCAAATCTTACTGCCCGTATGATTTCTCTATCTCTCTCTCTTTATATATATATATATATATGCCCTTATTACTACTTATTACTACATCTGATTTGAAATCTCAACGATTTCTGTGCATTCCTTAATTTTTTTTCTGTCGTACTTTTGACCGGGCATTCCAATCAGTAATTGAAATGAGAGTTGTTGAATTCCCCAAATTTATTTTGTTATATATTATGTAAATATATGTATGTGTCATGTGTGTGTATTTACTGCATTGTTTATGTTAATTTGTATGTTTCGATTTTGGATGAGAATCAAATCGGTTCATTCTTGTTACCAAAATGAAATGAACTGATCGATTGATTAGTGAAAACCTAAATTGCTTACATGAAATGCTCGAATACGGGAAAGATAATTAATTCATTAGATATTCTTGGTGATAGAGAAACAATTAACTTTATCAATTTTCATTGACTATCTTAAACTCTTTCAATTTATTTTGTGTGCTGCAGTATCCTAAAGTTTCTTCAAGTGTAGTGGTGGATTCAGTATTATATGTATATGTAAAAAACCTAATAAATTGATGCTATGTTCGGGAGCACCGAATCTACTGTTTAGATTTGGGATTGGAAGAAATATAGTTAAAACTTTGAACTAAATGTCCTCTAATCCCAAATCTAAAGCACTGATTCGGTTCTCCCAAACGAAAAATGAGATAGGTTGCAGTACTCCACCGCATCACATGGAATGAGTCCTTGAAGTTCACGTATGACTTAAAGTGAGATTGTTGTTATTTACTTTATTATTATTATTATTTTTTACTTAAAAAAAAAAAAAATTACTTTATTTTTTTCAAGCCTTGTGAAGGAGAAGGGATGTTTTGGATATTAATGGTGACCTAGCATCTTTCTTTCATTTCCGATAAGAAAGATATCTTCATGTTACTCTATTTACTTGGGTTAAGAAAGATATCTTCATGTTACTCTATTTACTTGGGTTCAAAAATAGAAAAATTTCTGTTCAAAGTGAAAAACATTACTTATTAATCAATGCAAATGGAAGGAAACCAATGATTGCTGAAGAGATGATATCTTATGAATCTCACATGAAGATACCTGCTAGTCGCATTGTTTAGTTGGCCTAAACTTTGGCTTGTAGAGCATTGCTTTTAAAAATAATACCTAAAAGCACATTGACAAAATCAATGTCTAGGAGAGTTCACTTGCAATACAAATGGTTTATATAGTATTTTGTGAAGTACACTAGTCACCAACTCTTTCTTGGTTGCTGTCAATGTAATTTGTTTGTATGCAGAATTGGGCTAGTATAAATCATTAGCTATTTGTCTGGTCACTTTTTTCATTGTATTTTTGTGATTTGCAGATACTGCAGAAAGGCAAAAGCTGTTTTCAAAGAGTTGAACCAAGTACCGCATGTTGTTGAGCTTGATGAGCGAGGTTTGTCTACACAACTAACTAATTTACATCTTTGTTGAGTGATCTGGAATGTGACAAGGAACTTCTGTACATGTTGATGAATAATTTGCAATGTAAAATAATTACGTGCAAATGTGCAATTCAGTGTTAATTGTCTTTTCAGTGCTAAGAAGCGTGCTTGTCAGCATTTTTGACAGGTTATGGGCCTTTTCCACCTTTAATTGCTCTGTTGACATTTTATGATAAGCAGATGAGACACCAATGTGGCTATGTTGTTTCTTTGAAGTGCGTAGATTCATAATCATACTTGAGGTGTCCATATCACTCATCGGGAAGTTTTTGACGAAGATTTGCTCTGTGTTTTACAGATGATGGCTGGGACATTCAGGACGCCTTGAGTGAGCTTGTTGGCAGGCGTACTGTACCACAGGTGTTCATCAATGGAAAACACGTTGGAGGCGCAGATGGTAACTCACCGATCTTTGTGCTTGACATCCTTGATTTCTTTTCTCCCTACCTTCATTAGATATTCTTTTTATTAGAAACATACCTGAATGATTCTTAAATATGATTACAGATACCGTTGAAGCCTATACAAGTGGAAAATTGGCTAAGCTTCTGGGGGTCACTGCAAAGGATGATCTTTGAGCCTACAATTTTGAATGATTTGCAAATTGATATAAAATCTGCGCATTCCCATACTTATAGGTAGGTTAAATGATGTAACAGTTGCGAATTCATCTTAGTGTCTGCTTTGATGCAGCCATCGATCATTTTAAGTGGCTCTGTGATTCGCAGGACGGATTTCTTCATTTCTGCTTTCTACTGATTGGTGATTCTAATTTCCTCTTTAAAGCTGGGATGATATTTGAGGTTACTCTACTTTGACTATATTTTGATTGAACCAGAACTCTGAAAGTTTTTTAACAAACACAAGAATTTCTTCTTCTTCTTTTATTTATTTATTTTTTGATCCTTCCTTAACCTCTTGGTGCTCATGTTTCATCTATAAGCTTTTCTCATGGTTGCAACCTCAAAAGGTGTTCAGATCTCATCCATTTTAGCAAAAACATTTTATGAAATAAGGGAAGAGTGAAGTCCTTTCCCTTTCCTCTCAAAAGTGGAAAGAAAGGATCTTTCCTCACTTCTTACATTTGTTTACTATTTCAAGAGTTGATTGTAATTTTTTTATACTGAACTAAAGAAAATCTTCATAACATTTGAAAATTATTTGATGAAAGAAAATCCATTTCCATCTACCTTCATTTGTTTCCAATTTTCTAACCACCATGGCATCAAATAAAGCATTCATCTAATTACACAATGACCATAGCTATATTATAATCAAGAGTACACAAATTCATGAACATAAAACATCCAACTGAAAGAAAAGGTTCAACATTCTGAAACTTGAACCATTTAGTTTTTCAAACACGGGCTATAAAACCCATTTACCAAAACTCCATGACTACCAACCACTATGTAATCTCAATGTAAATGCATACCAAAACTCCATGACTACCAAAACCTTATACCACTCAAATCTCAAAACCTAAATATATCACAACACAAAAAAACAAAAAAAACCACTTCAAACCTCAATGCATGAAGTTTACCCATACACAATTATTACATAAACATAAATACAGAAACATAAATATATATATATATATATATAAAGGCTAATTCAATGCACGAGACTTGAAACTTCTGCCCTGCAATGCAGATCGAGCGCAAGAAGCTTCTGCCATGCAAATCGATTTCCCGTTCATCTTGTAAAGTAGGTCTTGGGTGAGAACAAACGTTTTGGTGAAAACATCCCCATGTATCTTGGTGAAGCAAGCCCATCAATGCTCCTATAATTGGGCATTATAAACCCTTCTCTCTCCTCACTATTACGTGGTACATTATTGGACAGTGCACCATTGAATGTACCATATTTCTTGAGCTTCCCCATCCAAGTCTTCTTCTTGGGGGACTCCTTGTGTGCCCCATTCATCCTCTGGCTCAGGTACTCCTTCACTGCATACACTCCCCTCTCCACCACCTCCGGTGGCGGCGACACCATAGGGTTCCCCTCAACACTCAGCTTCTGGAGCTTCTTGAGGCAGCCGACGGAGTCGGGCAAGGCAGTGATCTTGTTGTAGCTGACGTCCAATTCGACGAGGGAGATGAGGAGGCCCAGGGAGTATGGTAGGGTGGCGAGGTACTGGAAGTTCTGGCTGACATTGAGGACTTCGAGGTTGATGAGGTTTTCGAGGTCCTCGGGGAGGGAACGGAGGCAGTTGAGGCGGGCGTCGAGGACGCGGAGGGTGGTGAGGTGGGACGTGGAGTGAGGGAGGAAGACGAGCTTGTTGGAGTTCACTGAGAGCTTCTTCAGGTTCACCAGCTCAAACCCTATGGTGTCTGGGAGTCTGGTTAGCTTGTTGAAGTTGGCATTCAGCTCCTCCAGTGATCTGTCAATAAAATGCATGAGCCCACCAACACATGTAAACAATAATCACTCAATTATACATGTGTACTTTATATATTTACATAAATATAATAATATATATATATATTTTTGGGAATACGTGTATGGGAGTGCTTAGGGTTGTATAATTCATTTTTGTATTTCTAAACAATGGGTATTGATGTCGTTAGAATTACTTTAAGGGTAACATTGGTATTTTGATAACTTTATTTGCTGACATAGTAAAAATGTCGTTATTGATATAATTTAAACCAACATTTGTTTTTAAGAACGTTTGATATAAATTAACCTAACTAAAACTTTCCTGGTTTATAATAGTAATTAACCTCATTTTCTGTAGTCCAAACTATTATAATTGGAAGACTACTATTAAAATTTATGGTACTATGCTATTTTAATCATGAGTTTTAATTATTCTGAGATATAGACTTACTAATTAATATAACATCAATAGACTAGTAAGAATGAATTATATAGCAAGGCAAGTCTGTTTTAATGATAAGATTGAAGTAGTCACGGAGTCATCATCATATTGCGGGACTTATATAGATAGAGCAGCCAAACCCGTGAGATACATAATCAGAGTCCATATTGTGCGTTTGTGTGTGAAGAAGCTCTCTAGCAAAGTTTGACCGAATTTAATGAGCTATTTGTAACGGTCTACAATTAAATATGACTTAATGGACCTTGGGTTGCTCGATCAATTAATTTTTTTTTTTTTTGCTATGCATGTCTCACACGTGTAACAAAGTGTCCATTTTTATGCTTTCTAGATACAGGAGATAAGGATGAGGAAAGGAGAAGAAAAGACGAAAAGCACTGCTATATGGCCGACAGTCCACCTCTGAGTTGTAAGTTTTTTTTTTTTAGGTAAAGAAATTCCACACATCCAATTTTCACCGAGATTCGAGTTTTTTATTTTTTTTTTTGAAGAGGACTGGGTGATATCGCTGGAACAATTGATCCTTTGATAATTATAAGTTGTGTATGCAGAGGGAATGCATGTGCATTATATACGTACAATGAGTTGTAAGTTGTCTATGTGAAGGGGGTGCGTGTGCACATGCGGATGTGTGTATAACAAGTACAATTTGAATGTATCTGATATAGAGTATTGTAGGGCGCACTCAATATTTTTTTGTCCATATTTTTAATTATATATTTTTTTCAAAGAACATAAATGTAACAAATTTTCAATATTTGGTAGCAGATAGGAAGAATAAAGGGGTGAGCAGCCTCCTAATCGAAGTAATTTTCTTCCCTTTCACTAGTTCAGGGGCAAGTTTTTAAACAAGGAAAAAGAAAAAGTTTAATTTGTATGAGAATTTAATATACCCATAAGAAATGAATTATGGTATATATACCTGCAATTTTCAATAGTCTTGGGGAGTGATTCAAGAAGATTGCCGGAAACATTTAAAGTCTTGAGCTTTGAGAGACACCCCATTGAATTTGGGAGGGACTTGAGCTGATTTGAGTGCACGTCCAGCACCACCACATTTAGCAATCTTGCTATTAGAGACTCTGGTATGCCCTGTCAAACAAACAACAAACAAAACTTTCAAAGTAGTCCACATAATTGGTATGTGTATTTGTGTGAATATATATATATGTGTGTGTGTGTGTGTTATAGATTATAGAAATAAAGTCTTGAGATGTAAATGCTTTTCTAATTAACCAAATATATGTTGTGGTATCACACTTTTTATAACTGATCAATTGTCATATCGTCTGATATGAGCAACGAAGCACAACTCTCCTGATATTTTACCTGGCTTATATATATTTTTCTTTTTTGATTAATAAATAAAATTATTAGATGATTCTGAACCATGTTAGATCATTGGTCTAGCCTAATCGAAACTTATATATTACTTTTTTATTTTTTAGTAATATCTTATTAAATTCTTATGGGACCACTTCAAAGTAGTCACTATGCTCTAATAATTTCTTAACAATTAACTCCAACAATGCCAAAAGAAGACTAAAGAGTAGGAAATTAAAATAAAACAATAAAGTGTCATTGTGGGAAAAAAAATTCAATTTGATAGATGAAAATGGGATGCACATCTTAATTATTCTTGTGAAATCCAAACAAGATATATCTAACAATCATAGATTTCCTTTTATTGTTTTTCCCTTTTTGGGTGATATATATTGTGTGTCTATATATGGATATGTGGGGCATTAATTCTTGGAGTCTTGGAGAGACAAACTTCCTTATTACTTACCCAGAAAGAGGAAAAGTTTGGAAGTGTAAAAATTAAAAATCTATTCAACTTCCCATCTATCATCTCTCCCTACTCAAAAAAACATAAAACACACACACACACACACAAACAAAAGTAATAATAAATAAATCAATCAAGAAAAAAAATTAAGAAAAAGGAAATAAAGACATAAAATATCCCGTTTTCAGCCAGAAGAGAAAAAAGGAAAAAAAAAAAAAAAAAAAAAACAAAGAAGAAGAGGGGGTTTCCAACAAATTTAGAACACTCCTATTTTTGGAATTCCCACATGAGAAAATGCTTTTTCTCATGTGTCATCATATTCACCACAGCTCATTGCATGAACCAAAAAACAATCATGTCACTCATTGACTTAACAGTATACTTATACATACATATGTATGTATATAACCTGTATATAATTTTTTTTTTTTTAAACACTGTTTACATAGGTTGAATATGTAAACCTGTAGATTATTATTGGAGATTATTATATATACCTGTAGATTATTATTGGAGAGGTCTAATTTGCAGATGGTGCCTAAATTGAGAGAAGGGTTAGGGAGAGACTCCAAAGACATCCCACTCAAATCCACAATTTCAAGCCTTTCAGCTTCTTGTATTGGCGCTCTTCTCCTGTCTGTCTTCTTCCTCCCATCAATCTTAACTTGTTGCTGTTCGTACATCATCTTTACACACACACACACGAGAAAGAAAGAGCTATCTAGGAAGACAAATATATATATATATATATATATATATATATATCAACTGATATATATGTGTATATATATAGAGAGAGAAAGTAGGGGAGATAAAGTAGATAGAGAAATAGAAGGGGAAGAAGAGGAGGGCACTATCTATATATCTGAGTGCCTCTATGTGTATATATGGTAACTTGGTAAGTGGTTGCAGCAAAATTAATACGGACCATAACATATTAAAGGACGTACGGATGAGCATGAGGTACAAGACACGTTTGCATGACGTTGTGGGGGGAAAAGTACAAGCCCGTATGGGGTTAGGGGGTTGAGGTTGCGTATACACATCAACCACTCATCATGTTAAAAAGTCAACCCTTTGTTTTAGTTGGCAGCCCGCGAATCACGCTTTGCTTTGTTGTTATTATTTTGTTCTATTTGGCTAAAATCCAATTGAAATGCTAGTCTTATCTGTTTACTTACTATTCAGAGGGACAATATCTATAAGCTATAGCACTTATAGACCTTTTTACTTGTGGAGTGGACTTACAAATTCACCCCCAATTTCTTTTGTGATTAGTAAACAACCCACCCTAAATGTTTGTGTAAACACTAGGTTGGACTAACAAGTGAAGAATGATACATTCTCGAAATTTAAAATACGGAGAGAGAGAGAGAAAAAAAAAATAAAAAATTTTTGTGAGTGAGCGGTAGACTCCACCACATGATGTTGTCATGCGGGTGGAGTCCACACCCCAACCTATATAATACCATGTCTGTATTATTTGGATTCAGAATATGTATTATTTTTTTAATAAATTTGTAAATCATATTGTCATAGAACACTGTGTTGAGATTGATTGAATCTTCCATTTTGTAAATTTGAAGAAAAAGTCGCTTATTCGGTATGCTTATTATTTTTCATCTTTGGATTGTAATGTTTCAACATATAAGAAGGGAAAAAATAAACAATATTTGTGTAAACCCTAGGTTGGACTAATAAGTGATTAATAATACATTCTCTGAATTTAAAATGTCAAAAAATGAATTTGTGAGTGAGGTGTAGACTCCACCAAATGATGTCATGCGGATGGAGTCCACACCCCAAAACTTACACAATACCATGTCGATATTCTTTGAATTCCAAAGATATATTATTTTTTCTAGTAAATTTGAAAATCATATTGTCATAGAACAGTGTGTTGAGATTGATTGAATCTTCCATTTTGTAAATTTGAAGAAAAAGTCTGCTTATTCGGTATGCTTATTGTTTTCCATTTTTGGATTGTAATGTTTCAACATGTTAGAAGGGAAAAAAATCAACAATTTTTTTAACCTCTTAAAGTTTCTTTGATTTGTCTCTTGGTCCACAAGTCTAGACCATGGGTCATTTAGTGAGAAAAATTATTAAATGATCCTGATTCATAGGTTATTTGGCGGTCCACTACAATCAATATCCATGTTTAGATTTGTTTATTTTTTTAAATATATTAAACTCTTATAGGTTGAGTTTTGATTAAATTGAACCACATCAATCATCTAATAATTTCTCAAGTAAAAGAGAGAGAGAGAGAGAGAGAGAGAGTGTGTGTGTTTCAATGCTAAGGTGGAGCAAGAACATTGTAACGTATCTTGGAGGAATTTTTACATGGTCCATGATGTACAACATGATCTCAGCCAATCACAACACGACACGTAAGTAAAAAAAACTAAATAAAACTCGACATGTACTCAGACTACATAAAAATTTCTTCCAATCTTAGGGTGTTTTTCTACCAAGAATATATGCTCCACTAATTGTGTAATACACACCGGCCTGTGTATATATATTTTTGTATGGCATAACTAGCAATAGATATGTGAGTAAGTGGGAATATACATACTCCACCTAAAGAAGAAATTCTCATTTTGAAGGCAAAATTAATCATTACGCAAGTAAAAAAAAAAAACTAAATAAAACTTGGCATGTACCCAGACTATGTAAAAATTTCTTTCAATCTTAAAGGTGTTTATTGGTATGGATGAATGGAATGGAATTGAATGCACATTCTAACCATTCATTTATTTGGTATGCAACTTAAATTGGGAATGACCATTTCATTTGAATGAAAATTCATTCCTGAGAATGAAAATCCATTTCACAACTAAACTTATGGAATGACCATTCCATTCCCAAGTAATTTATTTTAAAAAATCGACTTCCTAAAACACCCACATATTCCAAATCTAAAAACCACCATTACCTTCCACCACAATCATCTCCGCCTTTCACCATCACCACCATTACCACTGCCTTCCACCACCACCGACTTTCACCATCGCCCACCACTTTCCATCACCACTATCACCGTACCGCCACCGTTTGCTGCAACCACCACCGTCACTTTTCACCATTACTATCGCCACCACCACCACTGTCATTGCCTTTCACCACCTTCCACCACCACCGCCGCCATCGTCTTTCACCACTGCCACCACCTTCCATCACCACCATTGCTACTGCCTTTCACTACCACCACCGTCTTCTACCACCGCCACCGCCACCACCGCCACTGCCTTCCACAACCACTAACACCGCCGCCATCGCCTTCTACCACCTTCTATCACCACCTTCCACCATCGCCACCACCACCACTACCACCGCCGCCGCCACCTTCCACCACCACTACCACCGTTGCTGTCGCCTTCCACCACCACCACCATTGTCGCCACTTCCACTGCCTTCCACCACCACCATAGTCACACCACTATCTCCTTCCACCACAACCACCACACTACTGCCACCGCCTTCCACCAACACCACTGCCACCTTCCACCACCATTGCTTCCACCAATTCTCACTATTGCCACCGCCGCCGCTTTCCAATACTACCACAGCCATTGCCACTATTTATTTTTAAAAAATTATTAGAGAATATTATTTTGTTATTTTATTTTAATTTAATTTATTTGTTACTAAGAGAGATATTTTGGAGAATTCAATTAGAAATTTATTTCATTCTAAATTTTAAATTGGTCCAACCAAACACTAGAATGGTTATTATTATTGCATTCTTACACATTTCATATTTACGACCAAACAATATAATGAGAATGACCATTCCATTCCATTTCCATTCTTATTTCATTCCCACTTACATTCTATTCTATTCTTGTACATCAAACGTAACACAAAAATATATACTCCATTAGTTGTGTCATGCGCGTGTGTATTTTTGTATGGCATAACTGGCCATGGACATGTGAGTAAGTGGGAATATACATAACTCCACCTTCGGAAGAAATTCTCATTTTGAAGGCAAAATCAATCATTTTTTTTCTGAAATGCATAAAGAGTACTTATAATAAGAAAGGAAAATGATCATCAAAGAATGAATTGTCATCCACAAATATTAAATATTGTACAAAAAACTGGCACCACCAACATTGTTCCACATCCAACACCATGACCAACACACCTCATACTCACATTTGTGTGAGATAAAAAGATGATGTAGATAGAGATAATGGAGGGCAATGAAGAGGATTTGACAATTAGAATGAATTGAAATGAGCGAGACAGAATCATATAAAGAGAGGAGAGAGAATATTATTTAAAGATACTTTATTGCCATTTAAAAATTGATACTTTGATGTAACATAATGAGTGGTAAAATGGTTAGTATTTTGCAAAAACCAGTTTTTAACATTAAAAAAAAATAGTTTCACTGTAACATTTATAACATTTATATGCAAGTGAAATAATAAAATTGCTCTTCTTCATTATGTTTTGGATGAGTTTGCAAGTAATTTTGTCATTCAAAGGGGAGACTGCAATTTTAGCAACATCAAGAAGATTAGTTCGCCAATTATCATAAATATTAGGTAGTGAATTTACAATTTCTCCTAATATATGTGTAGGTTTATGTGTGTTTGTGCGTGTGTGTGTGTGTATATGTCTATAACTTTGGTGTGACCTAACAGCACATAGATTCTTATGAACATGGCTTCTGTGGCCCATTGCTTTCAGCAACATCATGGTTTCTCTGGATTTGTTCTATACAATTTTTTTTTAATATTTTTTATGCACCCAAATTTAAAATTTTCAATAATATTCCTTAAAAAAACTATTTTAATAGTACAATTTAAAATTAGAATCTTTTGAATTTCACCAAACATTCACCCTATGGCATTTTCTTTTAAACTTGAAATTTTAAACATAAATACAGTTGTCCGATTCAAATCCACTTCCTTCACAAAATAAAAAAAAAATTGGATGAATATATAATTATATATGTATTATGTATAAATATTAAATGTGTGACTTCGGATCTTGTCACTTTGTCAGTTAGGGTTGTATTTCGTGGAAGCTTCGCAATAATGACAAAAGTGTCCACTTGTGGAAAAACTGTTACTCCATTAATAAACAAATAGGACAGGCATGAAAACATCATAGGACCTTAACAGTTAAAGCCACTGTTTTCTGAATCACGACAAATTTTGAGTCACTTGGTTTTTCCCGTTTAATTTTTTTCCGTGCATACTATACCATACTCATTTAAGTGCCATCACACAAAGTCATTTTGATAAGTGACCCGTATTGTCATATATATATATATATATATATATATATATATTTAAAATAATAATTTATTTTTCTTTTTTAAATAATATATTTCATATTTTTTTATATATATCATTTGAATTTAAAATATTAAACTTAAATATTCAAAATTGAAAAGAGCATGTCCCACGTGTCTTTTTAAAAATTATTATTCTCCATAAACGATATTTAAATTAGGAGAAAAAGAGTACATATCTACATAAATTATATTATAATTGTCGAGAACACATGTGTGTCTTTGTCACTTGTTAATTCTGGAATACGTTTAGAATAGTGAAGTGCTTAATGACAAATGTTAATTTTGAATGAAATTACAAATTGAAATTTAAACTTAATCTTCACAAAATAAAAAAAGAAAAGGAAAGAAAAAAAAAATGTACCTAACTATGGTTAGGCTCTAAAGATTAATTGGACTTGAATTGGGTTTGAATCGAACTGTTCAAAAAAGAGAATTGTAATTAGTGACCAAGTACAAATTAGTGTATGGCTAGAGAGCATGACATTAGGAGAGTAAATGATTTTTTTTCTTGTACTTATATGATTTTGACAGGGCAAAATTCAACTTGTACGGAAATTCAGACAATCAAGCTTGTAATGAGTTGACCCACCTAACCCAATAATTAACATATATTTTGGTGAAAATATGTTGAGGATTTTAATATTGATTTATTAGTAGAAGTATACCCTTCAACTTTCTCCTTCCTTTCAAGATCAACCAATCACACCTTACGAGGATAAGGATGAGATTAAACCCTCTGTCTTTCCTTTGACAAATATTATATATTTATATATATATATATCTATAGAGAGAGAGAGTATTACAAAATCTTAAAATGACGGCAAATATAAAAACACGAACAATTTTTCAAGGACAAGGGTTGAGAGCACGCTTTACTTGAAAATGTACTCTTACGAAGTCAATCAATAAACTTTATAAAAATTAAATATTTTTAATAATATAAATATGTATGACCTGGATATTCTCGAGACATATGAACATTTACAGCATATACATCATATATATATATATATATATATAGATAAATACAGTATATAACATGACATTCATTGGATGACTAATTAGCCAAATAATATTTATATATCACATTAGACCTGATTTTAACACAGCCGACCATAATACAAATTACAAAGAATGATGTTCACAACTCATCTAATGTCAAATTTAACAAAGCATATTTATTCTATTATTCCAAATAAATAGATGTATGAATTTCTTATTAATAAAAAATAAACAATAAAAATCACTTTATATAATATCTAAATTAATGTTTATTGATCATTTTATTGTGAATGGGGATTGGTTCTCAAATTTTTGAGTGGTGATTGATTTTTTTTTTTTTTTTTTTCAAAATAAATATTAGATTAAAAGTTAAAAGTACCAAATCTCAAAATCTGAGTATCAAAAACGACGGAGAGAAACCAAATTGAGTGGTGAGCTGAGTTTTTCAATAAATTATCTTAAACTTGCATCAACCTCCTCTGCCTAGGTCCAAGGAATGCTACCTTGAAAGACATTCTGGCAGACCTTGGGCCCCTAGAGTCAAATTCACCATTCCAAACACTTTCAAGGCCCAGGAGAACCCAGGCCCGTAAAAGATATCTCACCTTTAACAGTGGGTTTGGGTTGATGTTTGAAAGAAAATTTCTTTTAAAAATTAATTATAAAAAGAAATTAAATTTATTTTATTTTATAAAAAAATTAAATTAATTATATTTAAGTAAATTATTAACAATTATGATACAAAAAGAAATTGGCGAATTGAGGTAGAATTGTAGAGTGAAGAGAAATTCTGTAAAATGCAAATAAATAGTATAACACGATAATGAAATAATATAATATCTTATTAATAATTTATAAAATGTATATAAATTTCTACTATCTATAATTACACCGTAAAGATGAAAGGAAAAACATTCTGATGTCTTTCTTAAATTATCCATTTTTCTTGATTACTCATCTCATTTGGGTCACAGTTACCAAACCCTTTCTTCACAGGTATTTTATTTCCGAAAAATGCACACAATGAAGAGTGTGATGTCTTTAATTTACTGTGAAAGTTAAGAAATAGGTAAATAAGTTAATTAACCCGACTAAAAAAAAAAGAAAAAAATTGGGTGGTTTATAGTGATACTCACATCGAACACTTACAATAAATTGTCTAATCGAATAATTTTTAATTAGTTATTTATACTAAATACAACCAAATGTAAGGTTCCATTTTCTTATTTATTAAATAATTTACCAATTTAAAGAGTAGGACTAGCATTTCACTGTATTTATTCGGTACAAAAATCATTTTAATAACTAAACAACATAGACCTCTCTTATATTTTTTAAAAAATAAACTGACGTGTTATTGATTTTTTAATTGACAATTATACCCATTATATTTTTACAATACACAAATATTTTTTCAAAGGGTAAATTTGGGTTTTTAGATTTTTTCAAGTATGACATCAGATAACAATTTTATGATGGAGGAGGTCAGTGTTATTTTTTAAAATTAGAGGGGAGTTTATTGTTATTTAGATAGTTTATAGTAGACTCGATGTAATTTATCCTAACAAAATATCGTCATCACTAGGCTGAGTTGTCTCTTCCACAAAGAAAACGACGAACAGGCGTGGCCATAGCTGTAGGGATCTGTCTGAATCTTTGAAAAAACACAAAAACGGCCGTCAATTCACCGTTACTGAAGATATGAATGCCAAACGGATTTTCTCGGGAAAGTTAATGGCTTTTCTTGAATTTTCTCGAGAAAGTTTGTCTGTTCACTGTGTTATCATCCGCTGTCTTCGTTGTCCGGATCTGAATCAATTAATGTCTCTCTTCTAATTTTATTCTCCTCTTCAATCCGCATTGCCCTGTTCTTCTCTGCTATCGCAGTATGAGATATATATATATAGAGAGAGAGAGAAAAATAAACATTGTGATGGACTTGAGGCAGGTGATTGCAGCTTTTCTCACACTTTCTATGTTCGCAATGCTGGGAAACATGATCAAAAGAGACCATTTTGATTCACTTCAAGTAAGTACTCTGTTGATTATTTTTCTCTATGACCTTATGTTTATTTGTCATATTTGATGAGTATTACAGTTACTTCCGTTTAGTCCCAATTTCGCGTTAATATTATTAATATAAAAATGTTTGGGTTCTCATTCTTTTGAGGATTTAAATCAATATTGATTGATGGTAGCATTGCAACGTTAGTTCCTTTTGTTTTATCATTAATTGCAATGTAATTTTTTTTTTTTTTTTTTTTCATGGCAAGAATGTTAGGGTTAGTGGTTAGTAAGGGAGAGTGTGCGAAGGCTCGGGCTCCCAAGGATAATGGAAGCAACCCTATCGCATGGGCTACGAAGGTGTTCGAAAAAAAAAAAAAGTGTTTATTTTACATGATTTCATACTTATTTTCTGCAGAAATTGGTTTTATTACAATGTATGCTTTTGTGCGCATTTGTGATTTTTATTTTTGAATGAATTTAGTCATTATGAGATTAACCAATATGGTTTCCCATTTGGGTTTGCAGATGAAGAGTCCAACAACATTAAGTGGTGAGTATGATGCCACTGAGCTTACAAAGCAAAGGATTGTCAAACTTTCTAGTGTGAGTAAAGAGCCTTGGGAGGAAAATGGCAAAGTGCTAAGACCTTGCTGGAACAAACCTACACCAAGTCAGTTCTTTTTTGGATTTAGATGTATCAATTATTTGGTGAAGTGTTTTTATAGGCGCATTTTAACTGTTATTTCTCTTCTTCTTCCTTCTTCTTCAACCTATATATTCATGCTTCACTCATACAATGCAAACAGCAGTCAAAAGGTTTTATCACATTCTCATTGACTGATGGCCCTGAATATCATGTTTCTCAGGTACTCTATGCCATCTTTTCTTCCTTTTATTCTCTTTTCATGTTTTTATTTTAATTTTTATGTAATAGTACCCACTTACATACACAAAGACACAAATACATACAAACTATATGTGAGTTTTGTATACATACAACTCATTACCATATCGCGATCATCTAAGTTATCCAACTGTTTATAGATCCAATGGACTTTGTCATGTCTATTTTCCTGTATTTGACATAAGTATCAAATGGATGTCTTGATGAACTTCAATGGACGTTGTTATTTTCACGTGGTTTGGTGAATTCTGGTTCATACAATATTTTAGCGTTCTTTCTGTCTTTGTTGCTCTACATCTCAAAATCTTTTATGCTTCTATTGATCTTATATCCTTTACTCATGTAATTTATCTCTGATCGTTTCTAAGATTGCAAATGCAGTGGTAGTTGCTGGATATCTTGGTGCAACAATTGTACTCCCTGACATCAGGGGAAGCAAGCCTGGTGAGAAGAGGTTAGTGCTTAATGTAACCTGTAATATTCTTCCTGCATTCTTTATGCGTTCTATAGGCCTTGGCAAGTTTATGTTCGTTAACTTTGTATGCACAATCAATAAATTCTATCTCAGTTGCTTCAACTGATGTAAATTGAGTGCGAGGCTGTAGTACGGATATTTTTGTTGAAGACTTACCTATAGGGAGATTATAAATATTCCAGCTGAAAATTTTACGAGTTCCTGAAATGATCAAAACTAACTCTGCATTTGCTCTGTAGACTAATGATTGCGAAGCTCAATCTGGTTTCGTTGTCCTGGAAAATTTTCTAGGCTATTACAAATTTTTCAACCTGATTGAGGAAGAGGGAAAGGTTGGCAGGGAACATTTTTTATTTTTTCTGTTACCCTACTAGAGCCTTTGTACGAAGAAATTATAAGAAAATTTAAGTGTTAGCTCATTAGTTCCTTGCTGCTTGGAAGATAAAAAATATAAATGGATAAAGTGCACTGGAAACAACTCTGAGGGAAGATGATCTATAAGGGCCAATAGATCATCCTAATGACCAATTTTCTGATTTGATGTCTTCCTTATTCAATTCTCACATTTGTCAATCACTGCATCCTTACTCTGCGACTTTCCAATATCTAACGAACTTCCTCCAAAGATGCTGATGCAGTGTTTTTTAACCGATCACTTCAGCCATGATGCCGAAACAAATTTATTTCATTAGATGCCATTATCAGCAAACACTTTTCAAGCCAGAATTTGAAACCTTTTTTTCCCTTGACGTTGGTTTCAAAATATACTCTTAGTGTTGTTTGAAATCTATTTCTGATGGGTAATCTACATTAACTTCAAATTTTCGGCAACTACATAACATGTTACATATATTTTTTGATAATTAACTACATAACATGTTATATTACTTTATAAATACAGGCAGAACTGGTTAGTTAGCCTTGAAACATTCAACAAGCACTCCAACTTACTTGAAACCCTTCAGGAACTTTGAAGAAATTTATGATGTCAAGAGACTTATTAGAAATCTGGATGGTGTGATCACAATAGCAAAGTATCAGCCTATGAAAGCATCAAGCACCATTGTGAGGGTTCCTAATTGGGTTTCTGAAGACTACATTGCTGCAAATGTTGAGCCATTATTCAGATGGAAGAAAATCTTAAAGCTTGAAACGTACTTCCCTTCCTTAACCATGACAAAGGGAGAAAAGACTGGGTACTTGGATTCATATTCATGCTTGGGACTGTTTGGGATTCTCCAGTTGCAACCAGGGATGCAGGAATTGGTTGACTCAATGGTTGGGAGGCTCGGAACCTTAAGCCAGAAATCTAAAGGCCGGTTTATTGCACTGGACTTGGGAAAGGTGTGTTGGGAAAGTGGAGTTATGGGAAGAAGTTGTTACAATGCTTGGGAGATTGGTGAATTTTTGAAGAGGATTGGTTTTCATAGAGACACCACAATTTACCTGACGCAATCTGGGTGGCATAGAAGTCTTGATGCTTTGAGAGATATCTACCCAAGAACATATACAAAGGTAAAGGCCATACATTTTTTTTTTTTTTTTTGTGATTTATTACCTATTCTAGTCCTTCTAGTAACCCAGAGGATTTTCTATTATGATCGCCTCCTACTGCATCAGATGGCTTAGTGTGCCTTTCTGGTTTGGTACCATGTCTGAAGGAATTAAAACACTTGCTATCCTGTACCATGTTATGTGTACTCTTCAAAAGTAGGTGAACTACCGTGTTGGACATACAATACTCGGGTAAGGGTATGAATAAGTGTCCGATACTTTTTGTTGCTCATGCACCCAACAAACTTATCCAATAATCCAATTTTATTACATTATTGCTTCAAATGAGTGAAATGTTTATATTGAATACTATGTTGCATAAACACATTATTTAACACTAGAAAATAAAATAAAAGATTATTAAATAAAATAAATATTTAGTGGTGTTTCTTTGTCATTCTATTTAGGGATTTGACACATCTAACGCTTAGATATATATGTAAGAATTTTTGACACACCCACATGGCCACACCCGAGCCTAAGAGCGAGGAAGATTGAAGGGAAGGGATATATCTCCTCTCTTAATTGCCTTTACAGGCGTTCCTGAGTCTATGGATAGGCACAAGGTTACTGCATTAGCAGCTGAAGGCAAGAGTGTTTAAGTTCCAATTTGGACAGCAAATATGGTCTTAAAAATAAAGAGATTCTCAAAAGCCGGAAATTCTTGAAATAATTTCCTATAGGAAAGGGTTAAAGTTGAATGAAGTTTCAAAGTAGTTCAGAATCAAAGAGAGAGGTAAGACATCTGTCTCTCTTTTGAATGCCTCTTGACAGTGGTTTGCATCTTTCAAGCACCATGCATCGCATCTGAAATAGTGAATTGTTCTTAAATAAATTTTCCAAGATGAAATGCTTTCCCTCCATAAAGTAATTTTTTTTCAAGGTGGTTCCCTTGCATTTCTCATTATCTAGAAAGTAAGGATCAAGCTCAGCAGAGGGTTTGAGAATAGGGTAGGGACCTGTCTTAAGATTCAGATAAGAAAGAGTATGAAACCTTTCTGCATACACCTATCTACAAGTGCTGCATACAAGTTCCGGCCAGGATGATTGGGAAAGATCAAACCAATTTGAACAGTTTACGTCACAGTACAATGCAAAAGGCCGTAAACATGCAATTATTTCTAAGAAATTTGTAGTTACAGTCTAACAGAGGAATAGAAGATGTTGAAAATAGAATACTTCACATGAGACTTTGATGTAAAGTTTCCTTCTTTTTATATCTCCCAAAAGCATGTGGCACTTCCATGAGTGATAAAGGCCGTCATTGAACTTAAAATTATCATTGTTACTTGTTTTAAAGTTTTCTTCAAATCAAAATATAACAGTTCTTACATTTGATACTTTCATGAACTTCACCATTGTTCCTTAAAACAGAGTGAAATTATTTGTTGATATTACTATCAAATGGATGCTGATTAATCTTGCACATGACTTGAATTCCTGTATTTGTTTCTGAAACTGCAACAGCAAGGTATAATGCCAGCAGATAAAAAGGCAAAGTTCCTCAATGCAGAAAGTTCTGAATTTGAAAAGCTCGTCGACTTCCATATATGTTCTCAGAGTGATGTCTTTATACCTGCCTTCTCTGGGCTGTTCTATGCTAATGTTGCCGGGAAGAGAATTGCTTATGGCAAGAGACAGATTCTAGTTCCTGCCCAAATAACTTCGACTTCTTCCACAGATTATATTTCCCCCTATATATCTAACAAGAGCCATTTGGCATATTCATGCTTTTGCTGACATACGGTCACATACCATGTGGAGAATCCGAAAGAGAGCAATGTGAGGCTCCTGTAAACAGGTACTTGCCTCATCATTTCGCGTCAAGTTCTAACTTTTTATGGCCTCAATTTAGTCTTATTCTGTAAACAGTAACTGTAAATGATTTCGGTTCTATAGATCTCCCCAGCATATTTTCACTGTAATGTATCGATAATTTTGTAGCGGCAGTTGATTATAGATGTTGTGATTCCATTTTCCCTCCTTTTGTTTTGTGCATTGATCTTGTAATGGCCATAATGGATATGTAATCTATGTTTATGTAGATATAAAATGAGCATGGTGCACATTAGTATTTAGTTTCAGAAGTTGAAGACACCCAAATACGGTATGAGGACGAAACCCAGTCTGGCCACGAGTGGGAAAATCATAGTAGCCGTTGATTTGTTGGAAGAGAAAGAAAAAGTGTGGGATCCTACTGCATCAGACGGTTGGTTTCAAAATCATGCACTTCTGGATTGAATCAAATTTCATGGAATGCTAGGACTCCCTAAGGAAATTGATCAGTCAACTACGTTTAACAGAACACTTGGGGTACAGAAATGATAGTATGATTGTAAACACAAATTACCATCCTCGTGGTTGTGAACACAAATTACTGTTACTATTGTGGCTTTAAGGTTGAAATAAAGTCGCTTAACAGTAATATACATTGCCTTTTTTATATGGAACATATATATTGAGAAGAACTTGACAAGCAACATGACTGGCTTGAATTGGGAAGAGATGGTTTTAATCTATTTGGTAATGTAAGTAACTCTTGCAACATATTTTATGCTGTAAATTTTGTAACTTGAAAATGAATGGCGAGGCTTCGAGAACCAAGAGGACAAATGAATGCGTCAATTTCTTGATTTCATTCTATACAAGATATAACTTTCCATTGCATGAAGTTGTGTAAAAATAAATTAATTGAATTTCAAACCCTAAAACTTGCAAAATAAAATTTGAATTTTAAACCTTTGAATGTGCAAAATAAAAATGTAGAGTACAATTTGACAGATTAACTCAAACTCAAATCAAGTCTAATTTGATCGAGATCTGGATTGACTTTTTAGGGGTAAATAAAATGCACTCAATAAAATAAATGATTATTATATTCAGAATTAAGTGATAAATTGACGGGTTGTGAAGGAAATTTGATTTATTAATTTATGGTCAAGGGAAGACAGAAATCCAATGGGTCTTATGGTTAATAATCTGCACTCTCTTGCACACAAAAACTAGCTCCCTCACTTAACCAGAAAAAAACTCCCTCCCTCACATCATATGCTACGGTAGGAGTCAAACTCTATGTCTCTCACTCCTTCTTCGGGTAGAATCTAGAGAGAGAGCATAGTAAATTCCGCAATGGCGATGATGCTGAAACCCGTCTCTCCCTACGTTTTGGAAACCCTAGAGTTCAACAACAAACCCAGAAACCAATACCCTAATTGGCGTGCTAACACACGTCCATCTCTCAATCGAATCTTCAATTCCTGCAAACCCAACTATTATTGTTCATCATTCGAAACTTCAGACGAAGCTCGAAGACTGGTCCATGAATTCAACCCCAATATTCCGATACAGGAAGCCCTAACCCCACCCAGTTCTTGGTACACTCACCCTTCTTTTCTCTCTCTAGAATTCGATCGCGTCTTCTTCCGTGGTTGGCAGGCCGTTGGTATACTCATACTCTCTCTCCCTCTCTCTACACACACACACACACACACACACATACATGGAAAGAAATGAAATTTAATATTTTTTGAGTGTTAAAACCCAACAAATCTAGAAACCCTCCTAATCAATTGGGAAACAATTCATATATGATTTGAATTTTATATATATATATATATATATATACTTGTCTTTTCTCTGTTTTCTCAGCAATCAAAGAGAGATCCTTGAAAATTTTGGTAAAAATACTTAACACATGATTGTATTGTGTAGGATAAAATGTGAATTAAATGAGATTTCTGATTAGTTTATTGGAGATTGTTCTCGTTTTGATTGACATGAATAAATGCTTTGATTCATTTATTGCTTTTGATTTTTATTGTTAGGATATACGGAACAAATTAAAGAACCTCGTGACTTTTTCACTGGGAGGTATTGTTTGTGATTGTTGATCGTCTATTCCATTGTTCTCTATTTATTCCATAAATATATAACAACTCTCTTATATGTATGTATGTGTGTTGGTATTTAAGGTGCCTAATTAGTAGATTGTGACAGGTTGGGAAATGTAGAATATGTGGTATGTCGGGATGATAATGGGATTGTACAAGCTTTTCACAATGTGTGTCGGCATCATGCCTCTCTTCTTGCATTTGGAAGTGGACAGAAATCTTGCTTTGAATGCCCTTATCACGTAAGTTTGTGTATCATTGCAGATAGAGTAGCTTAAAATTCTTATGTCATTCATAATCTTATATATCATTTAGTAAACTTTATGTTTTGAAGTTTTGTAATATGCATCAATGTGTTTTAGTTGGTTGTATGATGTTCGTCAATTTAGTAGGGATGGACCGCGGACATGAAATTTATCTTTTTTCCGGCAATTTAGTTCAACTTCTTCTGATCTATTCTGTAGGGATGGACATATGGATTGGATGGAGCACTTCTCAAAGCAACTAGAATAACAGGAATCAAGAACTTCAATGTAAATGTATGCAGTAAAATGTTATGGTAGCAATCTCATTCCTGTTTTGTACCGCATTTTCCGATGGAGGGATAATTTGGGTGGTTTAATCTGGCCATGGGAGGGTAGGAACTTGGACTTATACCGCTGAAAGTAGCCATTTGGGGGCCATTTGTTCTTCTCAATTTGGAAGATGAGATTTTGCCTCAACAAGAAGCTTTTGGCGACATTGTCGGAAATGAATGGCTTGGTAGCTCATCAGAGATGCTGAGTACCAATGGAGTTGACTCTTCACTTAGTTTTGTTTGCAGACGAGAATATACTATTGAATGTAACTGGAAGGTTTGTTCCGCTACTTGTTTTACTTCAGATTCCTGTCCTACGTTATGTAATACCTTTCGACATTTGGTCTTTCATTGATGGTCCTAGAAGCTAATATTGTCTTCCCCTCCTTGAGTTACAGTGAGTGTCTCCTATGTCAATATAAAGAACCATTAGATTTTAATTTATTTTTTTAATTTAGTATGATATGCGTATTGATTGATGATGATAATTTTTATGAACTTTTTTTCTTGCAGGTATTCTGTGATAACTACTTAGATGGTGGCTATCATGTACCATATGCACATAAAGGTCTTGCATCTGGTCTTAAGCTCGAGTCATATTCCACCACAGTATGCTCACTATTTGATTCATCGTTGTGGATTTGGCAATGTTAATTTCCGACTACCAATATTATAATATCTGACTCATTTTCTTTAATAAAGTAGACTATTATAAAATCTGACTCATTTTCTTTAATAAAGTAGACTTTTGAGAAGGTTAGCGTCCAAAGATGTGATGGCGGATCAACTGAAAGTGAAGATGATTTTGATCGACTTGGATCAAAAGCTCTATATGCATTCATTTATCCGAACTTCATGATTAATAGGTGAGTGATTAGTCATCAAATGTGCCAAGGGCCATCGACCATTTGAGTGTTAAATAAATCCGATATTATATCAACTCTGATATATTCAGCTTGTTTCTTGGACTTACAGGTATGGACCTTGGATGGACACCAATCTAGTACTCCCACTGGGACCTAGGAAGTGCCAAGTGATATTTGATTACTTTCTTGACACTTCTCTTAAGGTAAAAACATATTACACTATATCAGAATATATAATTTATGGCTTCCTCCCACTCCATCTTCCCCCTAGTCTTGAGGGAGAAGAAAAACCAGATTTTATGTTCTCAGAGCGAATTGTTCCATGCTTATGTCAAAAGTTTGGAGTTAGAAGTAGGTTTTTCGTGAGATTATGTGATCGTATGAGGAATGTGTATGAGAACAATTACAAGAAAATGTAATTAATATTATGTTATGGTGTCAGGATGACAAAGCTTTCATAGAGAGTAGCCTAGAAGATAGCGAAAGAGTGCAGGTACAACCATGACAATTTATTTGAATTGTCTCAATATATATATATATATATATATATATATATATATATATTTTATATCTAATTCTTATATTTTTGAGAATATATAGATGGAAGATGTCGTTTTGTGTGAAGGTGTTCAGCGGGGCCTTGAATCACCGGCATACTGTAGTGGCAGGTATGCGCCAACCGTCGAGAAGGCCATGCATCATTTCCACTGTCTGCTTTATGAAACACTTAGAAATTGAAATGTACTCTTCAATTATTTAATATTTGTTTCAGGCGGGGAATCATAACTTTTTCCCCCCAATTTCCTTTGTACTCATAACTGTTTTGAATTGCTGCCTAGTCATGGTTTTATCCCCTCTTGAGAAAGTGAAACTGACTGCCTTGCTATATATCAAATATTTTCAAGTGATGACTTGCTTCAACTCTTCTTCTTTTTTCACATTTTCCTTTACCTTTCCCAAACAAGAGGAAAGGTTAACGAGATGGGTATTAATAATAAGATCCCTTCAAATGTGTAGGTTAGGGGATGCTCATATGAATTGACAGAAAAAAAACGATTCAACTCCTAATATCACCAATTTGAAGAAACCTAGTGATTTCATCATAATTGGTGCTACCTAAGAAGATATACAAAGGTAGCAGGCTTACAGCTAGTTTAGTTGTGCAACGGAGTGGTTTTTCCATTGTGATCTGGAGGTCACATATTCAAAATAGAAAGTACTTTCTGCATATAGAGGTAAGGAAGGTAAGATTGCGTACATCTGACTTTGTTCAAATCCTGCAATGGTGAGAATGTTGAATCAAAGATATGTGATCTAATCTTCACCTTCCACTGGTTTTGAGAGGGAGGAGAGAGTTGTGTACATCCTTACAAATTTATAGTAGTTAGAAAATAACCCGAATGACACACGTTAATAGTTAGTTCTCCATACCCCAAAATGGCTTAGAAACAAGATTGCAGCTAATTACCTCAAGACTTTGTTGATGCAATTTTGAAAGAGACACTTCGGTGTTCTTCAAATAAAGTTGTTTTCGGTCAACAATGATTATTTATATTAAAATTTAATTGTCAAAATAGCAAAATTGCATATTTTATTAACCAGAGTGGAACAAAAATAAGGCTTTACGTGTGGCAGTTTGGGACGTCCATTTTGATTCAAGGTGAACGGAAGATCTTTAAGATCTATCACGGATCATGGTCGGATTTGGATGTGGATATTTATGAAATTGATCACGTTTTATCCTACATCTGGCCATATCAGAGCATATTTCATCCATCCCCTTCCCAGCAGTTAAACAGATTACGCCAAACAGAATTTTCTATGAGAGAAAAGCTCAGGGCAAAGAACAAAGCCATATAGAATTCCTTTCTTACGAAGCCTGCATGTATTGCCACATTTAGTCATAGAAAAAGCAGAGAAGTGGGGACTGCATAACTGAGAACATGTATAAGAAAACTTGGGATTTCGAAACTGGATGTTGATTTTCATCCATCCCCTGCCAAGCAATTAAATTGATAGAAAATTAAAATGGTTCAAAATTTTTAAGGGAGAAATATATTAAATTTTATATAATTCTTTGAATCAACTCATGTCATGGAGAACCACGTAAGAATTGTTACATTAATCTCACAAAAATGATGCAAGGTATTTGAGTTCAAAATCAACCAGCAGCAGCAAAAAAGCAAAGAATGCTTCACCCACAAATTAGTTGCCAATCATTCTTCATCAGAATAATTGAACTTTACTGAATGGGATTGCAGATCAATCTGACCTCCTCTGTAGCTACCACGCTTCTTCTTGGTCTTTTCATGACGGAAGTCCCTGGAAAGAAAAGGAAACAGAACTGTTTAGTACACTGATTAAAATGCAAAACCACTAGTGATGATGATGGATGCATTACATGAACCAATATGGAGACCGGATCACTGTGGCACTTGGATAAAACTTAAAACAACGTGGCAGGAAGGTAAAAAGCTCACGTAGAGGGCTCAGTTGGAGCATGATGAGCTACATTGCATGGACTCTTCTGATAGAGGTAATCAGTGGAGATGTTTGTCCAAAAATGTCAAATTCTTTATCATTTTTAAGTGTCAAGTACCTACCCTTACCGCAAAGGTAATTGCTTCTTCCAATAACCACATGTCTGAACATACTATATTGTTTTTTAGAACCTTTACTTGGAAAGATGAAGGTAGTTTTCTACTTTCCTTGAGGGTTGGCAGAGTATTTAGGCCTAGTAGATAAGTTATCCTATATAACTTAATCCATGGGCATACAAGTAGTATTCTTTATAGCTTATGCATTGATGAGCAGCCATATGTAAAATAAAAAAAGTACAATAATCCATGGGCCTACAAGTAATATTCTTTATAATCAATGATCATAAAATTTGAATTGTAATCTAAGAGGGAAATATACAACCTCGGATATATAGGCACACTCACATGCGGTTATATTGATAAGCCAAACATCTATGTAGGACTTGAACCAACACTATCTGAGAGTCGCGGGAGAGACCTCCAAGCTACCAGCTAGTGGTAATGGGTTTATATTGATAAGCCAAACATCTATGTAGAACACAAGGACTTGAACCAACACTCTCTGAGAGTTCACAGGAGAGACCTCCCAAGCTAACAGCATGTGGCAATATGTAATCTCATGAATTACATAGATATGCCACTTACTTTGTTATTTTGACACCCTTTACAATGCACTAATTTATGTCATATAGCTAGTAGCAAACATACCTTCCTCTAACCTGCCCGAGAACTTCCTGTGCTTTTGCACCATAGCCAATCTCTGCGCCACCCTGCCAAGTATTTTTATGTAGGATAAGTACTAAAAACACGAGGCAAATAGAACAGCAAATAGATATTTAAAAGAATAAAATGAAGCAAAAATAACAAGATTATCATCACACCTTGGCCCAGTAGGAATTATTTTGAAGCCTGTCATCTGCAAATTCAACCTCATCAACTTTCACTCTTTGAAATGCATTCACTGTCTTTGGCTGTAAAATCAGTATCCATCAAATATAAATTCACAATGGAACATCAATTATTTGGAAAATAAAAATTAAAAAAGTAAACTACAGTATCATACGCATTGAAATAAAATAAACACAAGAAAAGCAACAAAATTGGCGAGGATGATAACTTAACACCAAATATAGAACTGTTGGCATATTTAACCAAACAAGGTAAATGTATTGTGTCACAACAGTTCAAAAGACAATTTCATGCAAATCAAGAAACAAGTAAAACGTTTACAACATTGTACCTCAGCGGAACCATTTCGTTCTTTCATCGTCGTTTTCTGCAAGGCAGATTTCTCCTCCCCATTCTTCTCAAGCTTCCCAATTGCATGCTTATACAATGCCTTCTTCAAGTCATCGCGACCAACTTGGCCAATTTCCCCTTTACTTTCTTCGCCTGCATGTCCATCACCTCCCAGGATTGGATTCACCTTCGTAATTTGCTCATTACTCTTCGCTTCTTCCAAACCTTCAGTTTTTCTGCGTTTGGAGTCTTCAGTTGCTACTTCCTCAACAGGCTGATGCTCATGTTCAACAGAAGCTAATCTTTTTCTTTTCTTGGAATGCTTTTTTTCTTTGTTGGCTGCATTCTCTGGTGTCTGAAACCATTCCTTTGTAGATTCATTAATTATTGGATTTTCTTTGTCAATTGCTTCCATGAACTCTTGAGAGACTGCACCATCTTTCTTTCTCTTCCTATCTTTGGTTTTAACTTTGTTGCCCTCCAACGGGATGTCAGGAATATTCCCCAATGCGGAATCATCAACAAGCTTCTCTGCCGTAGCCCCCTGCTTATCCTCCAAGCCAGGTTCCTCAACATTTTCAGCATGAGAAATAACAGTTACCTTGTTTTTCTTCTTCTTCTTATCTCTAGATTTAACATTTGACTCAGAATCAATTATATTGTCACCTTTTGAAGATGCTAAATCCATCGCCCCCGACAATGACTCTATTTTTTCTTGTTCTACATCACCATCAACAAGCTTCTCTGCCATAGCCCCCTGTTTATTCTCCACGCCAGGTTCCTCAACATGTTCAGCATGAGAAACAACATTTAGCTTGTTTTTCTTCTTCTTATCTCTAGATTTAACTTTTGACTCAGAATCAATTATATTGTCACCTTTTGAAGATACTAAATCCATCGCCTCTGGCAATGAATCTAATTTTTCTTGTTCTACACTACCATCAAGAGATCCAGAGGCTAGTGTACTTTTCTTTTTCTTATTTCCCTTACATTTAATGTTGGATTCATCCATCTGTAGTTCACAACCTGTATCATCAACATGCTTCTTCAAAGCTTCAGAGCTGACTTGTTCAGCTTGACCTAAGGAATCAAGAATCCTTTTCGATTTTCGTTTTGATTCGATGACTAAATCATTTGCTGCTATCTTCTCACACATGTTAGTAGATTGATTAATTTTTTCGGCAGCCCCAGATTGATCTGCTGCGGCATTCACGTCACTCTCATCACTTTTCTTTTTCTTCTTTTTACTAATAGTTTTCTCAGAGGCAGCACAGTTAGTATCACCATCTTTCTTGGTAATGGCATCCTTTAGTAATTCTGGAAATTTACAGATTTATGTCAGAACCAGTCTAAGTATTCCTCAAAATGATCAAATAAACTTTATACCACTTGATTCTGGAAATTAGAAGACATTAGGGAAACAAAACACACACACACACACACACACACACACACACACAGGTCCATTACTATAATAACATACCCTGCTCCTTGTAAGTGTTGAAATTTACATCTGCATGACCACTGCATATGGTAGAGAAGCACAAATAGCATTAGAATGATAAAAGGAATTCAAGATTTTCAATAAGCAGACTTTCGAGGAAAACACTAAGAAATAAAGCACCGGAGAAGTTGTACGGAGAATGAACTAGGAATCCCTCCAAATGGTTTTAAGCTAATTACAATACAAAGTAACAAAACCAACTTCAAGTGCCATTCCAAATTATTAGCCCCTTAAGGTGACTTAACATAGCATGACATGTTGAACAATCATTAAGGATACAGCTTATAAGAGATGTGAACAGCAAAAAGTACTCATATTGCCACCTTCAAAAGGCAGGATTGCATGAATTAACTCAAACAAAATATTTACCAAGCAATTCAAAATGTAATATATCCAAATTAAAGAAGGGGGAGGGAGGGGGGCCATTAGCGAGCACACTATTTATAAAGTGGTCATCATGTTTACAATGCCTAGCAGGTGAATGTTGAGCCAAGAGTCCAAGACATATCTTTCCATTTCCTCTTTTTTATGAAAACAAGAATATGAGGCTAAACTTTGAAGGCCAACGGATCATAAATAGTCAGGCTTTAATTCTTGTATATAAATTACTCCTAATCCTACCATGTCTCCTAACAAGGGAAAGGCTTCACGAATCTGTTAATAAATGATTGCATTAATACTAATTAGAATACAAGGATGAATCAGCCCTAATCCTACCATGTCTCCAAATACTTGCAGTACATATCTTCCAAATCCATTGAACAAGTCTTCCAACTGTCATCCTGCACCAAAAGAAGGATCAAGATTATTTGCATGACTAAGTCAGATAAAACTACAAAGAAGAAGCATATTAAAAAATAGACAAGAATTTGAAAGCTTATATTAATTAAATAGAAAAAGGGAAAAAAATGCATTTTAGCTTAGGGCTAAGTGGAAGTGTTTGTTTTTTTCTTTCTTAATCCAAAATTTCATACCACCAAATCCGGTAAATTATATGTATGAATGAATGATTTAGTAACATGGAGATTGTAAAAAACAGGGCATGTGCATATAATTAGCTTCTCGGTGCCTGAACCACTTGCACAAATCCCTCTGAATGAGTTGGACCTATCCATTATACAAACTTATACAGCCACCAATCTGTTTGAGCAAGTAGATGCAATCAAATTGCATCGTCTACTTCAAGTAGATACAACAAATATCCACCAGAAAACAACAAAGCTTGCAACAAATAAGATGTGAGAGAGAGATGTAGAGGAGACCTCAATTTGAGCTTCGGATAGAAGACGTTTGAGGGCTTTGGAGAAGCAATTGTGCTCAAGGTACCGAAGGACGGAGTGGAGAAGAGGAGCCTTCTGGTTGGGTTTTAGGGTTAGGGTTTTGTTGTGGTCGTTCTTCGTCATCGTCTTCTTCGCGTTCTGCTCTGCGAGCATCACCTGCCGAGGCTTCAATGCTATCAAAGTTGAGTTAGGGTTTGTATTCTCTCCACTTTTTGTTTCGAGCATATATATAATATATATATATAAATATACAGAGAGAGAGAATTGCGTCAGCTGGGGGTGGGGGGTTTGAGACTGAGAATTTTGTGGTGGGAGGTTTTAGGAATTAGGGTTTGCTGTGTGTTGTTGGGTTGTCAAATAGTTGAGACAAATAATTGATAAAAATTACTAGGGATAACCCTGTTTTTCTTGAATCTGCAGGGGTAGGAGTGGCAATGAACATAATATGAACCCGAATTCATCATTCCCATTGGTGGATACTTTTTCAATACCGACTGGACGGGTATTATAAAACCGTACCCGAGAGTTTTTATTTTTATTTTTTTAACAATAAATATATTCACAACTTTCATACAAACTTTTTTTCACACCCAAACTCGAATTCCTCTCCATCACAACTAACGTGTTTAATACATTTTTTTATTTTTTTTATTTTTTTTAGTTTAATACTTTTTCATGTATCTATTATATATATATATATATTTTTTTATTTATCATTGTTCGTCGTATCAGTCGATTTGTAATCTTTTTTAAATATTTGATATCGTTATACACCTACATAAATCAATTAATTCGGTCAGTTTATATCGATATTTGTCTGAATTTATTATATTGTGACTATAAATCATGTTGTCTCATGTTTGCTTATAATATTTGCAACATAAACTATATTTTGTTATAATGAGAAATTATAAAACGAAAACCATTTATCCTTCTTTTTATTCTCTTATGAATATTAGTAAATTTTTGGTGATATATACTATCAATTTTTTGAGAAGTCTGAGAACTTCAATTTTTCTTTCAAAATATTGTGTGCATCAAATTAAAATTTATAATATATATTTTTTTCTTTTGCTCGCTTGAATCTAAATTTTCTAAATTTCTTGGTATATATTTGATCACGAAATCGTTCAAATTCTAAATGCTTTTAATATCCTTGAATATTTTCTATTTATTATTGGTTGGAAGGATGCAAAAATTGGAGCATATGCTTCATCATTTTTATTGTCACCTTTAAATATGGAACTCATGCTTGATTATTTTATTTTATTTTTACATCAATGCATATTTAATTAATTGATAATTGAGATGTGGTCAAGGGAAATAAATAAAAGTAAATTTATTAGACAGTTTAGAAAAAGCCTAATTGTATAACAAATCCAATCTAATTTAATTTTTTTTATGAATCAGACCAAGTCAGATTAAAGCTTTTTACAAATTGAATCAGATTCATTTTTCATCAATTTGTATGAAATATATTGATTACTTTAATTTTAATATAATTTAAATTAACTCGTTTGAGTGGAAATGCCGTCTACATTAATGAAAAAAGAGGTGGGTGGATATAGCTCACTCCAATTATTTTTAACAAGTAAAAATATATTATAATCTAGGGATATTTTTATTAGGGGTGCACAAAAGAACTGTGGAATCGAAACCAAAACCGGAATGAATCGGTTCTTATGGTTCCGGAACCGAACCGTAATATATATATATATATATATATATATATTTGTGGGCTGTGGATTGTGGGCCATGGGCAACCGGGCCATGGGCAACCGGGCCATGTCTAGCCTATAACTTTCAAAGTGACCACATCCACATATTCAATTCGACATTTCAGAATTGAGATCGGATAAAAGTCATAAAAATCAAAAGTCACAAAACTCTCAAAACCTAAACCTAAGCTTTATGTCACGAAGTGACTCCTAAGACGCTTGGAGGATGGAAGACACGCATGCTGGTTGGCAAAGAGCAGAGTTTGACTGGGAATGGTTCCAGGGAAGGGGCGTGCAGGAGCACAGGATGGTACCTCTTCAGAGTTCAGGCAGGTTGACTCGGTTCAGTTCGAGGTGCTTGTCGCTAGTCTTGGACTTGACTATGAAGAAGGGAGTTGGCCATCCCTGCACAAACTGGTCGGGAGCTGGAGCCGTTCCCCTGACGAGGCCATGGCAGGGCGAAACCAGTCAGCATGTATCCTTGGGAGGGCAGGTCGTGGTGGCTGACCAGGGCGCTTGCGCGAGCTGAAGCAACGCCTTGGTGCCGCACGGGCCGTGCCGCTGCGCCAAATCTCTAGGCCCGTGACAAATGGTATCAGAGCAGGACTTGGGGTAAAGCACGGTAGGGTGCCCCCTTGTCGGTCCGGGAGGGGTCAGAGAATGAAGACGGTGCATTGAAGTTGCGTCGATGTGGAGGAATCAATGCAGTTGGGGGGGAGAGCCTCCATCTCCCCAGGAAGAGGCGTCCGTTGAAGTTGCGCATTGAAGGGCCGGAGGGCCGCGCGCACCAAAGTTCGTGCTTAGTCCTTGGGTGATGCAAACCATGGTGAAGGGCGAGCATCAAGTCGGCAGAAGGCCATTGCTTGCTCGGGATGTCGCGGAGGCGGCATGACGGAGAAGAGTCACGTCCTTGAGGAGTGGACGTCCCCTTGGTCCGAGGCCTATCATTGGGCGAGTGCAGTGCAGGGAGCTGCACAAGGAAGCGATGGTGGGAAGGCGAGCATACCGCATGGAGGCAGACTTTGGAAGGGAGTGGACGCAGTAGTGAAACGCCGCACTGCGACGAGGACGTCGCAGGATTTGGGTGGGGGAGAATGTCACGAAGTGATTCCTAAGACGCTTGGAGGATGGAAGACACGCATGCTGGTTGGCAAAGAGCAGAGTTTGACTGGGAATGGTTCCAGGGAAGGGGCGTGCAGGAGCACAGGATGGTACCTCTTCAGAGTTCAGGCAGGTCGACTCGGTTCAGTTCGAGGTGCTTGTTGCTAGTCTTGGACTTGACTATGAAGAAGGGAGTTGGCCATCCCTGCACAAACTGGTCGGGAGCTGGAGCCGTTCCCCTGACGAGGCCATGGCAGGCCGAAACCAGTCAGCATGTATCCTTGGGAGGGCAGGTCGTGGTGGCTGACCAGGGCGCTTGCGCGAGCTGAAGCAACGCCTTGGTGCCGCACGGGCCGTGCCGCTGCGCCAAATCTCTAGGCCCGTGACATTTAGGTTCATTGAACTAACCTCTCAAAACACACTCGGCGGCTCTGCCTCCCATCCTCTCCTCTCACTGGTCTCTATCTTCTCGGATCACCGGTCAGATCGGTCAAATCGGTCTCTGTCTTAGCCTCTCTTCTCAGCCTTTGATTTAATTAAGTCAATTTTAGGAGGGTTTTTTGGCGAGGGAAGACTTGATCCGGTAAAATGAGGTCCGAAACATGGAGACTGGAGAGAGTGTTCAAGAGTATTGGTGAGAACGTCGGCGTTTGTGATCGATGATCGGCGACTGGAGCCGATCGGAGATGGAGGCGGTGCTCGGAAATCGACGACTTTTTCTGATTCAATCACTTCTACTCAGATTGGTCTCTATCTCAGCCTCTCCTCTCAGCCTCTGATTCAATCACTTCTACTCATATCTTCGCCTCTCCTTTCCTCTCAGTCTCAGTCTCAGCCTCTCCTCCCGATCTCAGTTTGGTCAACGATTCCACTGCTCACGGTTCCGGTTCTATTTTTTAGGAACCGTTCAGACCGGTCGAACCGTACCGAACTGAACCATGTGCACCCCTAATTTTTACATGTAAAGGGTTAATTCTTTAATATTCCACAAGATAAATTAGGTATATGAATTTAAATTGCACTATTTGGATAATGAGTGCATCTGGTAGAATTTTTTTTTTTTTTGAGTATCCACTGCTAATGGACATCTTAGTCCAGCAGTGAATGACTGTTTTCTAGTTATATATATATATATATATATATATATATATATATAAATATTTTAAAGGATTCAGTGCAAAAAAAATCTTTGTTATCTAAAAAATGTGCATATAACTCCTTATATTATTTATTTTTTGAGCAATTTGTCCCTTATTGAATTAATTTGTTAAAAAAGAGCAGTTGGGGATGTTATTTAAAAAAAAAAAAAAAAAAAAATCAAAAAGTGTCCTTTTTATTTGACAATAATGTAATCAAAAGTGTCTTTTTTATGTGATAATAATATCCCTATTAATTTTGTATATATTTAAACACTAAAATGGGTTTGTTTGACTTGTCAAAAAGAAACTCTCGCATATAGTCATAGTCCATCTCTAAAATATATAGCCACTGCCGATATTCTCTCTCTAATTTTTTTTTTCTCACTAAAATATTTTTTTTGTGGCTGCCAATATTATCTCTCTTTCTATTTTTATAGCCTCCCTTAATTATATATTTTATATATAATAATAATAATAATTAAATTTGCTTTGACACAAATTGTTATCAGGTGAACTTAGGATTTCTATCAAAATTAAAATTTTGATTTAGTTACCACAAACTAAAGCAACACATTTTTTTAAAAATTATTTATTTTATTTTATTTTATTAATGTTGAAATTTTTATCATATTGTGTTCTTTATAATAAACCAAGCACAAGGCTTTAACATCACGTGAGCCAAACCTTTTGAGTTTACCATTAACTTTTTTTCTTTTTCTTTTTTCCTAGTCGGTTTACCATTAACTTTTCAAGCACAATTTCTCAAAAATTATTAATAAGTGAGATAAAATAGAGTTAAAAAAAATATATTATTAATAAATGAGATTGATGTGTAGTTAATGACATAGGTCTACAATTTTTTTTTTAGCCACTATAGATTTATATATAGATATTCTTAAACGTATTGGAAGAACAATGGTAGATTTTGGTAAAAGGTAACTAGACATCCACATTTTAAGTTTGTTTTAAATATTGGGACACTGATTTATAGTCCTATGTTATGACTTTAAGGGTAATTTTGATATTTTGTCTTTTGGCTTTTTTTTTTTTTTTTTTCTTCACTAATGATAAAGAAAGGTTAATTTAGTAATTTTAACACTAAAAATTATGATTTGTCCTTATTTGCACAAATTGAAAATAGTAAGGGGTTTGTACGAACAATAAGGGAGTAATTGTACATTTTGATTATTATGAGAGGTTTTTTTTCACTTAATCATTTTTTAAATATTAATTTATTGCATGTTAACTCTTACAAAATAAAATTTATAGGAATTTGCAGTGTTTAAAATTTTCAGTGATATTAAACTAACTTAAGATCACTTTAATTTTCATTGGGTAAATGGACCATATGTTTAACTTTAATTGAGGTAATCCAAACTTTGAATCCAAGATCTCAGCCAGCCAAAGTTTAAAAATTCAAAAATATGTTAGAATCGAATGGAATAGTTGTCATATGTTTGGTTGGAGAAAAGGATTGAGGAGGGATAAATGAGATAAAGTCTTTTGTGTCTGGTCGGAGGAAATGGAAAGAGAGAGAGGAAGCAAGAAGGGATGAAAAATCCCTCATTTCGTCTTTTTTTCTATCGACCCAATTTTGGAGGAAATGGTCCAATGGAGGAGAGAGAAACTGAATACCTACACATACAATTTCTAATTTTAACTTTTCCAAAAAAATTCAAATAAATATTTATCTTTTATTATTTTATACAATGAGAGTATATTGATTAAAAAATATATAAAAATTATATGAGTAATGATACTTGTACCGATTTGTTACACGAATTGTTATACTGAATATTTTTGATTGGTTATTTATGCATAGTACGTGTAAGTGGAGGGTCCCATTTCTTTATTTATGCGATTTGTTGTAATGAATTGTCAAACTTATTTATTTTAATTGGTATATTTATGCATAAATAAAGAAGTGGGGCCTTCCACTTACATATACTATGCATAAATAAACATTCGGTGCAACAAATCGGTGCAAGTATTATTACTCAAATTATATTTTTCTTACTCCCAAAAAAAAAAAAAAAAAAAAAAAATGTATCACCCCTCCATCATTTCCATTATTCATTCCATCCAACCAAACAAAAAATAGGAGAGACACCTTTCTGGGATTCCTAATCCATCCCTCCTAATATCTTTTCCATCCATTTTTCCATCCTACCAACCAAACTAAGCCAGGGTTGATGATCAGTTAGTTAGTATTTCAAATGTTGGTTGGGCTTAGTTTTGCCTTCAACACGCCCTAGTTCACAACCATAAAGTGAAACCTCCCCCTTGAGGGTAAATCAGACATTTGGTCAAATCGGATCCATCAACAAGTGTTGTTTCCCCATAAACAGGTAATAAAATTATAAACCGTTGGATGGTTTTTACCAATGTGAAACACAACTCCAACAAAACCCTAATGTCAGTTTACTGGTCTATATATATACACATACGAATATATCCTTCAAGTGAATTAGGTGCGAAACCCGGGCGCAAATCCTCTGCTATGGGAATTTTATGCGGTTCCTTGCTGTGAGTGTTAAGTGGTCTTGGTTTGCCACATCATTCTTCATTTAATAACTCTTGAGGTAGCGTTTGGATGCACAATTACAAAAAAATAAAAACCTTCTTCACCACCATTTATAAGTATCTTCACCCTTAATATAAGTTATGCACATAATGCAGATTAAGTAATGTCACATACAAACGTAACTCAATTTTTTTATTTTTTATTTTCATAATTGGTGTTTATGTAAATAAAAAATTAAAATATTTATAGGTGCACAGAGGGTATACTCTAGAACAATGCTGAAAATGAAACAAACAATGAAAGATAGAAACCATTTCCAGCACTAAAGAAACCAAAAAAATCCAAACTAAACAATGTCTTAAATAGAGACATTATAAATATCAAGAACTTTAAACAAAATATGTCGAGCCACTTCAGAATGAGTTCTAGTTGTTTGATCATGCAATCTTCTATTTCTCTCTTGTCAAATAGTCCATAGGCCAGTAACAAAAAGAGTGTGCACCGGTTTACTTGACTGAGTTAAACACCAGTTCAATAAACTATCCACTATTGTTGTGATGTTTGAAAAATCCATCCTCCATCCAAGAGAATCATCAAGCCACATCCAGAAATCCCTAGAGAAGATACAATCAACAAACACATGATCCCTTGTGTCTATAGCGTGAAGGCAAACAGAACATCTTGAAGCCAAGCTCACATTCCTCTTCTGCAAATTATACATGGTTGATTGAATTGAGTTACGTTTGTATATGACATTACTTAGTCTGCATTATGTGCATACCTTATTTTGAGGGTGAAAATACTTATAAATGATCATGAATTGAGTTACATTTATATGTAACATTACTTAGTCTGCATTATGTACAAACCTTATTTTGAGGGTGAAGATACTTATAAATGGTGGCGAAATGTTATTTATAAATAGTGATGAATTGAGTTACATTTATATGTGACATTATTTAATATGCATTATGTACAAACCTTATTTTAAAAGTAAAAATACTTATAAATGGTGATGAAATATTATTTATAAATGTTAGTGTAATTACCAAATATACGGTGGTATAATTGCCAAATATAGTCCTGGTGCATATTAATTGAAGTAAAACGTGACCAAATTAATAACACTTAACACTTATGGTAGGAGAAAGCATGGAGATTTGCGCCCGCGAAACCCTCCCTCCCGGCCGACCAAATTCCGCATTTCGGATCGTAAAAGGTACAGTAAGTCTTACAGAATATCTTGAGCATGCATTGTGTGTGTATATATACATGTATCGTTTGACGAAGGGTTTTGTTGAGATATATTTGTATATGTTTGTTATTATCTTTTGAATCTGGGCATATTTCATGTCTCTCTGTTAGCTGTTACGATGTTTAATTAAATGTATGGGTCACTGGAAGATTCTGTTTTGATGTGCTGTTTGATTGCTGAGAAAGTGAAGGAAAACGAGAAGAACTTGAGTTTATAATTTTTCTTCATTCTGGAAGGAAGATTTATGGTCAACTGAGTGTGGAAAACTCAATTGGCTCATCTCGTGTTATTATTTTTTCGTTTTGTTAAAATAAAAATCCTTTATGTTGGAACCGTATAAGTTACATAAAAATTGCAAAGTCTATTTTGTTTCACTTTTCCTGTTTTATTTACACCCAAATTCTATATTCCATACTTATTAATGTGTTTATCTGATGATATCAAAAGTTTTCTCCTTGAGAAAAATGGATTATAGTTGGAGTAGAAAATTAATGAAGCGGAACAAATGCACGTGATTGATTTACAATGCTTCATTACAAAATGCCTATTTAAACATATTGATATTTGAAAAAGAGTTTATTTATTTATTTATTTTTATTTTTTTGTTCCACAATAATTCTTGCAGTGAATTTTTTTTTATTTTTTTATTATTATTATTTTTGCAAAAGCACAAGGAGGCTTGGAGTGTATTTTTCTGGAAACTGTTTCTGTTCTGATTGATACATATATATATATATATATATATATATATATATATATATATATATCTGGTTTATCTTATTTTTATTATTTTAAATATTTTTGTGTTGGATTTTTACTCAGTGATTTTTTGCCCCAATTTTTGTAGAGATATGGGTGGAGAGGAAGTCGAGGGAGGTGCACTGGTTCCAGAGTCAGTATTGAAGAAGCAGAAAAGGAATGAGGGATGGGCTCTTGCAGACAAGCAAGAGCTCGAAGCTGACAAGAAGAAAAATGTTGAGAATCAGAAGTTGATCTTTAAGAAAACTATGCCGTACTATGAGGAGTATGGGGAACAGGTAATTCTTCTTTGGTTTACAATATTTTGAGTTTCTGGTTATTTCAATGGATTTGTATTCCTGCTTTTCAGGTAAAGGAACTGATTCAGTTGAAGCCTGAGGCAAGACTGAAGGGAGGCTTTTATGTAAACCCGGAAGCCAAACTGCTTTTCATTACCAGAATCCGTGGGTATGTCGATACAGTGTCTATAATATATGTAATTATGATGCTTATTAATTATTGTTTAAAATTTGAAACTTTTAGGATCAATGCGCGCAATGCACCCAAAAACCAGAACAATTCTGCAACTTCTGCGATTGAGGCAGGTAAAAATTCAGTGAGCTATAATGCTATGTAAGGTAGATAGAGTTTGTACTTGAAATTATCTAGAAAAGTTTGCTTTCCTCTCGATGGGTGTTTCTCGATTTCCTCTTAATGGGAGTTCTGAGTGCTAGTTTATATGGTTAAATGGTTCTATTATTGTCTAGTTGCAGTCTTACAGACAAACTTCGGCTTCAAATACTGTTTGCTGCTAATATCGCGAAGAATAATTTTTATTTATTTTTTTGTTTAAATATTTATACTTCTATGGAATCTAGAGAACATGGCTGAGTGCCTCTGGGTGCTTAATGTTGATTAAGCTGTTCCAGCTTTGACATGGGTCAGTTAGGATGACAGAGTAAGAGGATTTTCAGAGATATGTTCTAGTGTTGACACTATTTTGAATGGGGTCGAATTACTGGTGGAGATTTTCCAATACACATCTTTGGGACCTTGGGTGTTGATGGGGACTGATGGTCCCCTGAAATTCATTAATCTCTTTTCTTTTCATTTTTCCCCCTTTATTGGTGCTTCTATATTCAACTTTTCGTTTTTGAACCGCTGAATCTTCTCCTTGTTATACTACAAAATTTGTCATTATACAGAAGTTCTTAATATTTGATATCCTTTGTATTTGTTTTGGGTTACAGATATTTAATGGTGTCTTTTTGAAAGTGAACAAAGCAACAATGAACATGCTGCATCGGGTTGAGCCATATGTGACATATGGGTACGCAATTATTTTATTTATTTATTTTTCTCGTGCTATTCATTCATAATTTGAAGACGCCCATGGGTTCACTAAGTCAATAATGTTCATATGTAGCCTGAATGAATGCTTTCAGGTATCCCAATCTGAAAAGTGTGAGAGAATTGATTTATAAGTGGGGTTATGGGAAACTAAACAAGCAAAGAATTGCCTTGACCGACAATTCAATAATTGAACAGGTTTGTTGGTTAAACATGATTCGTGTTCCTCTAAGACAAATAAAGTGGACAATCGTTTGCATTCTACAATGTTCATTTTCATCCCTTTATCATGGGATCAAAATCTTCTCCAGCGCAACAATAGGAACGGTCCTAGTCAGTGAGTTAAAATCGTAAGAGTTAAAAATTAAAAAAATAAAATTTTTGTATATACATATACACTTACATACGACACCAAATCAAAATCAGACCAACTCTTTGCTATTTTTTTATTTTTATTTTTTTATTTTCTCTCTCTATACACAAACATTTTCCTAACCTACAACTTCTTGTATATCACAACATTTTCCTAACCTACATCCTAACTTTCTCTTTACCAACATCCCACTTATTGTACAAATATATAAATAAACATATCTTAGTATAAATTGTATATTATAACATTTTTCTAACCTAAACTACATCTCAACTTTTTCCTTACCAACATCACACGATTCATTGCTTTATCTTGTTTGAGATGTATGTTAGAAAAATGTTGAGATTCTAGTAAGGAAAAATTTGAAAAATATTGGGATGTTGTTAAGGAGAAAGTTGGAATGTACAGACTTTCTATGTTTACACTGAAAACTGACTTATCTACATCCCAACTTTTCTCTTACCAACATCCCAACTTTCTCCTTACCAACATCACACTATTCATTGCTTTATCTTGTTTGGGATATATGTTAAAAAAAAGTTGGGATGCTAGTAAGGAGAAAGTTGGGATGTACGTTAGGAAAATATTGTGATGCAAGACCAACGTCCAAACATTTTTCTAACAATAGAAATAGATGAATAGTAGATCGTATTATAAGAAAATATTGGGATGTATATTCGGAAAATATTGGGATGTTGTTAAGGAGAAAGTTGGGATGTATAGATTTTGTATATATGCACTAAAAGCTGACTTACTCTTTTTTGTCTTTTTTGACTAAGTGACGTGGCAAACTTTGTATGTATACGCTAATATGTCTTCAATAAAAATTGATTTATTTTCTTTTCTCTTCTTTGACTAACTGACGTGGCAAAATGGTGTTCGCATATTACTCACAGGCTAAGACATATGTACTGTTGCGCATGAGACGATTTTGATCCTTTAGGGCAAGTGGTATAGTGCTAGCAATACAGGCTAGCAAAGCTTTGTTGGATTACTAGCCACATCAGCAATTGTGCTGATGTGGCTAGCAACAGTATATTGCTATCTTTAAGGCACGGTATGGGTTAATTGATATCTATTATTTTATTATTTTTTGTTGTACTATTTTAATACATTTAATATTTTGAGTAAAAAAAATTAAAAACATATTTATTTTTTTGTTTGCTTGTATTTTATAAAACGGCTACTTTTTCTACCACTTGAATTTTTTTTTATATTATATATTGCTATCTTTTAGTCATGGTACGTATGAGTTAATTGATATCTATTATTTTATTATTTGTGCTTGTATTTTTTAAAACGGCTACTTTTTCAACCACTTGAAATTTTTTTTATTATATATTTGAATAAAATACTTCTTTTAATACATTTAAATTAATATATTTTCTCATAATTAAATAAATCAAAAATAGATTACATATTTTCTCACAATTACATAAATAAAATAAATAAAAAGACATTACATATTTTCTCCCAGTTACATAAATAAAATAAAAAAAGACATTACATATTTTCTCACAATTAATTAAATAAATAAAAAGACATTGCATATTTTCTCACAAATATAAATAAATTACATATGACTACTACCTTCATTTAGTTTATTTAAGATTTAATTTTGTTGTTGAATTATCCATGCCTTTGATGCTTCTGTTGGAGCCTTTGATGGATCTTGACGCATTATATCTCTTTCAAACTACATTTCAGCCATCATTTTTCTTGTTTTTATTTCTAACTGTTTAGTCCGTTCTTTCTCCAAATTTGATTCTATCGCCAGCTGCTTAGTCCATTGTTTCTCCATGGAAAGTTGAAGTCTCATTCGCTCTCCTTCCACACCTGCTTCACTAAACATGACGCCTTGTGCTGTTACAGCTTCCAATTGTTTAAGAATACTTGTTTCAAGAGATGGCGTTTTCTTTTTGCGAATCTTCTTTGCTTTTTGTCCCTCGGGACGTGACATATTCGAACCTTCGATATCGACTGGTGTATCGTCATCACCAAGATTTACTGACCCTGGAGTTGATACTGTAGGAGTTGATGAACCTAGTGTTGTTGGCGTCGATTTTGACCAATTTCTTAGCTAATTAATATCAAGATCAACACCTCTTTTCATTGGTCGTCTAGTTGGATTTTCGTTAACGTTGCAATGCATCTGCCATTTTCCTGAATCCTGAAGAACATTCCAACAATGCTCGTATTTAAATTTTTTTTTCTGTTGAAGTTTATATAGTTCTCTAACAGCATTCATCTATAAAAAATAAATAATCATTGAAATTAATAAGTTGGATTAAAATTAAGAATAAAAAAATATTATACAAAGTAAAAACTTACCATATCATACTCGTTGTAACCACTGATTGGATTGTCGTGGACATTTTTGTAGTATCCTGAAAATCTGTTTACATCACGTTGAAAGTTTGAAAAACGGTTCATCAGAGCACCGTGTGATCTTTCTTTAGTTATCTTGTCTCCCAATTGCCTAACCCAAGAAGCTTGAATTCGTTGCCACAATGTATCCATACTTTGATCTGTACTCATCACTGGATCTTCACCAATCATGATCCATGATTTGCACAATGCTATATCTTCTTCTTCGGACCAATTCCCACCCTTTTCCTTTAAGGGTGGCTGTGATTGAGAAGGTTGAGAGGAATTTTGGAATTGAGGTGTGTATGGGGGTTATTGGGATGGATTTTGGAATTGAGATGTGTAAGGGTGACAAAATGGATTTTGAAATTAAGGTGTGTATTCTGGATAAATTTGGTTTTGCAATTGGGGCTGAGATGTATATTCAGAATGGATTGGATCTTGAGAGTGCCACCCAGAATTGAATTGAGATGGTATTTCGAAGTTTCCATATTGGTTAAAATGAGGGTTATTGACTAGAGGTCGTTGATCCATTGAATGTCGAAGGATGATGATTTAGTGAAATAAATGTTGAAGGATGAGAGAAATGAGTGTTGAATGATGAGTATTGAGTGAAATAAGTGTTGTATTTATAGGGATTGTTGTATACCCAACGGCTATATTCTCAACGGCTATATTCCCAACGGCTATATTCCAATGGCTATATTCTCAACGGCTATATAAACCACTAATTTAGTCTTTTGTAATTGCTCAAGTCCATTTTCTTTTCCTTCATTCCTCAAGTCCATATTTTCTCTTATTTGATTCCTCTACCATTTTTTCTCTTCTCTGAATTATCAACTTTTATATAAGAAAAAAAATGGCATCATCATCACAATCTTTTCAAATCTCCGAATCTGATTCTTCAGAAAATTCGTCAGATTCTGATCGGGAGACGGTTTATCAATTCCATCAAAAAAGGATCAAAACGATTCTGGGTATTTTTACGCCTGAGAATCTAAAAGCATTATTTAAACCAAAGAAGAGACGATATATTAAACGTGATCGGGAGGATGCAGCACAACAACTCTAGAAAGATTACTTCGCCGAAAATCCTGTGTTTCCACCCGAATATTTTCGTAGACGGATTAGAATGCGACGACAGTTGTTTCTTCGTATTTTGAACGATATTACAACTCATGACAACTTCTTCAAACAGAAGCCCGATGCTACTGGTCGTATGGGGTGCACCCCTATACAGAAGATGACAACAACAGTATACTTGCCTATGGAATTTCAGCGAATCTTTGTGATGAGTACATAAAGGTTGGAGAGCGCACTGCGATTGAAAGGTTGGAGAGTGCACTGCGATTGAAAGCTTGAAGAGATTTTGTGATGTTGTAATTGCATTGTATGCGGAGCAGTACCTACGCTCGCCAAACGAAAGCGACATTGCACGTTTACTTCAAGAAGGGGAAGAAAGAGGATTCCCAAGTATGCTTGGCTCTATAGATTGTATACATTGGGAATGGAAGAATTGCCCTAAAGGGTAGCATGGCACACACAAGGGGAGAGGTCGTAAGCCTACCCTCATGTTGGAGGCGGTTGCATCAAAAAATCTATGGATCTGTCATGCTTTTTTTGGTATGGCTGATTCACACAATGACGTGAATGTCTTAGATCATTCCCTAGTATTCAATTGCATCATTAGTGGTACAATGCCTCCAATTAATTACGAGGTGAATGGACATCACCGTACGTTGGGGTATTACCTATCTGATGGTATATACCCTAAGTGGGCAACTTTGATTCAAACCATCCCGCACCCAACTATTGAAAAAGAGAAATTGTTTGCTCAAAGACAAGAAGCCGTTAGGAAGGATGTTGAACGGGCATTTGGTGTGTTGCAGATAAGGTGGACTATAATGCATGGACCAGTATATTATTGGAAGAAAGAAGACCTGAACGTGCATCATATTGCACAACATGATCATAAAAGATGAGGGCGACACTAACATTTTGGAATGGACACCTCCAACGGATGAGTCGGTCTACCTTCCACAGTACAATCGAGACCGATCATTTTTGGCAGCACATATCTCCACTCGCCTCAGCAGGATTCACAATGTAGAAAACAATGGAGATCTCATGAGAGATCTTATGGAGCATTTGTGAAATAAATTTGGCAATAAAGAGGTTTAACGATAATACCGAATAAAATGTATTTCTTCATATTGTATGTTTGTGATGAATAAAATATTACTTTACAATTTTTTTTCATATATATTTGTTGACAAATTTTAAAGAAAAAAAAATCAAAATCATAAAATAAAAAAAAATTTACAATAAAATTAAATTACATATAAAAGGAAATACTAAAGAAAAAAAAAAAAAAAGCCATTTCTAACAATGTGATTTTTTGTTTTAAAAAATTCATATATATTTGTTGACAAATTTTGAAATCATAAATATTTATTTCAAAATAAAAAATAAAATAATCAAAATTATAAATTTATTTTTTACAATAAAAAGAAATAGTAAAGAAAAAAACCCAAAAAAAAAAAAAAAAAAAAAAAAAAAAAGGGGAAAAGAGGGCAGGTGGGGCCTTGTTTAGCTCGCAATGCTATTGTTAGCGGTTGCGATGTACTTTGCTAGTCTTGCTCTGGGTCCCACAAATTACTAGCCTTATACCAAGTCAAACAAAAGTAGTAGTGACTCCCTAGCTAGCAATAAAGCCCTTATATCGGTTGCTCTTACCATGTTACTTATTATTGCGGGGTATAGGCAAGTTCGGTATCATTTGCATTGAAGATCTGGTCCATGAAATCATGACCGTTGGACCTCACTTCAAGGAGGCAAACAACTTCCTATGGCCATTCAAGCTTAAGGCACCATTGGGTGGTCTGAAAAAGAAGAGGAATCACTATGTTGAAGGAGGTTATGCTGGCAACCGCGAGGATTACATCAATGAGCTCATCAGAAGGATGAACTAGATTTCTGTAGGATCTTCTTGTTTTTAAAATTTTGGTGGTTCTCGACATATATATATAGAAATGGAAATTATTGGACTCCTATAGGCTTTGGGTAAAGTAGTAGCATTTTAAAGGATAATCCTAATTGCCTTCCTTGTTTGACATTTAGGTTTTTACTAACCCAAAATTTTTTGTTTTTAAAAATACTTCCCAGCAAGCACTGCAAGTTTGTATGATAAGACGCGTCTAGTTTAGTATTTTATTCATTGGTCGTACATTTTTTTGTCTGGATGTGCCATGAGAAATTTTATGGCTGGCTGAGTAGAATGTTCTGCTTTGGCTGAGACAGATGTTCTATACCATTCACACTCACTGTGGGACCTAAATGAGTTGGACGGTTCCTTATGGGCCGTGTGGAGCTAATCCCATAAGGAACCATCCAACTCATTTAGGTCCCACAGTGAGTGAGTGTGAATGGTATAGAATATATATATATATATATTATTACTGAGGTTAAATTGCTAAAAACCCACTTATATTCATAAACTGCAAATAAAATTTCCTACATTTTGAACAAAAAAAGACATTAATTTAAAGATTAAAATACTTGAAACAAAATAATAAAAAATACTTATATACACAAATAAAATGAGCTATGCAATAAAACAAGGACTAATGAAAGAATCCTCGGATAACCAATTTCGATTCATGCGGAGGAGATTAACAATGAAGAATGTAGGAGTAAGCAACAATACCTAGCTACATATGGTTCTTACATATTTAGAAAAACACATGATACGATCCCAAAGATATAACTTGGTGGCCTCATAAAGAAAACAAATTCCCTTACAAATTGTAAAAACTATCCGAGGCATGTATAGGGATGGCAATTTGACTCGCCCCCGTGGTTACCCGCCTTGACCCGTCTCGATTTTGACGGTTTTGGAGGACCGTTTTGCTTATATGGACAGGGATGGTTTCATGTAATAAAAACCCGCGCGGGTTTGGTGCGAGCGCTGGGGAAGGTTGCCCCGCATTTTCCCGCCCCGTTTAGATAGACAAATTACTTAAGTATTCTTATTTCAATAGTATATATATTTACAACTATATATTAAGTACCCTATATAACAATATTAAAGTAACAAATGAATTTGGTTAAAAAGAAAGTTGCAATGGTGAAGAATTGAAGATGAGGGTAAAAAAAAAAAGAAGAGTAAATCTATTTTATAAATAAATAAATTATGGTCTTAAACGGGGCGGGGTGGGTATCCGTGGGGGTAAAAATGTTAAACGGTTACGGGGATGGGGTAGAAAATTTTCCCCTTTTTGCGATTTTGGACGGGAACGGGGGCAGGGTTTTTAAATAATTGCGGGAATGGGGGAGGGTACACCCGCCCAAACCCGCCCCCGTTGCCATCCCTAAGCATGTATATGAATACAAAAACTAAATGTTCATACAATGTGTGGTCACACTAGTGAGTTTTTCATTAAAAGAATTTCAAAACAAGATTCCATTGTATATTATGTTTGCTGTTGATGTCTTATTTTTGAATACTCTAAAGAGAAATTTGAAATAAAACTAGAAATAAACATGGATGAATATCTCTAAAGAGAAATTTGAAATAAAACTATAAATTAACATGGAGAAAATATTTTAGAATCAAATTATTGAGAATTAGTCCAACTAAAACTCAATGTATGGAGTGCAAATTTCATATCGATTCGAATATTGATGTGCAAATGATAGCACTTGAAAACCAAAAGATTATTCAAAACAAACACTTTCAATATCTAGGATTGATAATACAAAAGGATTCAGAGATAGAGGATGATGCAACTACTATAATTGGAGTGAGTTGGACAAAATGGAGGTAAGCTAGTGGAATTTTATGCGATAAATATAGGCTAAAAGAAAATTTCTATGAGACGTTAGACTAACTATGTTGTATGAAGTGAAGTGTTGGGCCCTAAAAAAAAAAAAAAAAAACTTCTTCGTATAGCAAAAATAAGAATGTTAAGATGAATGTGGAGTGTTAAGTAGAATGACCCAAAACCAATGCCGACCCTTAAAACTTTAATAAAGTTGGACCAAACTTCTGAAACTTGATGACTCAAAACTAATGTGAACTCTGAAACTTGAAGATGACCCAAAAACTAATGTGAACTCTGAAACTTCTAGACTGTCGAGGAAATTGCATTAAATTCAAGATAACCTACAAACAATACAAATTTTGCAGTGTGTATTCACTTTTCTTAAAATGTTATTTATCCCTACTCTGATTTATAGTAAAACATTCACATAAAACAACAAAGTTATAGTTAGTAATGCTGAAGGAATATATTTCTTAGACAGTCGTTGAAACTGTACGTTATAATAAAGAATAAAAAAAGAAATGAGGGATAAATAATAAAATAATATGTTAAATTTTGAGTCAAGCACCCTACTTATATAGGAGGGATGGTCGCCAATTTGAATCCAAAAGTTACTATGAACTATAATAAAAGTGTGAGAGAAAAACTAGCGGTGGTTTCCATTGGTGAGAAAATTAGAGAAGGAAATAGATTGAGAGGGCGGCTAAAAAATGACATGAGACGAGATTATTAAAAATAATTTTTAAAATAGTAAGTGCATTAGCACGTAATAGAAAAACCTGAATAGAGAATTCATGTGACAGACCTAATTCATATGGGATTCATGACATGATAATTAATGATCATATATTATAACTAATGTTTAAAAAAATTTGTAACAAACAACTAGAGGTTATATTGTATGGAGATTATTACACCATTTACATAAACTCTTTTTATATTTAACAGTTGTTAGATATCTAAAAATATCGTGTATGTGACCAGCGTAATCATGAATTATCGATACCGCTTTAAAATAAAAAGAAGATTTTCAGATTGTGATTGTATATATGTTTCACTCTTAGACAAATTTGAGCTTCATAGACACTAACAAACACCCTTGCATTTGGATCCCTCTCTAATAAAGAATCAACCATGACCTAGTTTTAGGTTTTAGAAATGTTCATGGAAATTTTCACTTCTATATGCTCTAATATTTCAAGCTACCGAAGTTAGATTGTAAAGTGAGATTTGAACTCAAGGACTTACCTGTTCGGAAACCATAGTGACAATAACCATCTGCTCAAGTTGATAAATAGGGTGTTGCTAAATTATATATATATATATATATATATATATACATACATATAATAGTCTAATGTATGTGTGTATTTTGTGTGCGTGTGTATATATATGTATACATACATGTTGAGAAAGAAAGGATATATATGGAGGAGGAGAAAATATATTAAAATCATTAGAAAACCCGCCAAAAATGAGGGTATTCAGGTATTTTGTACTTAGGTTGGAGCAGAAGCTAATATATACATACATATAATAGTCTAATGTATGTGTGTGTTTTGTGTGCGTGTGTATATATATGTATACATACATGTTGAGAAAGAAAGGATATATATGGAGGAGGAGAAAATATATTAAAATCATTAGAAAACCCGCCAAAAATGAGGGTATTCAGGTATTTTGTACTTAGGTTGGAGCAGAAGCTAAGATACACAGTGATCTCTTATATATATCTAAGAGTACAAGACCAAACATTTGGCGCTGAAAATATATTGAAATCATTAGAAAACCCGCCATCAACTAATGAGGGTATCTAATTTGTACTTAGATTGGAGCAGAAACTAAGATACACAGTGATATCTTATATATATATATATATATATCTAAGAGTACAAGACCAAACATTTGGCGCAGGAAGTACAGAAGAACTTTCTCTTGATCTTGCAGCAAATGGGTAGACATAAAAACCTCCATTGTCTCTCTACATCTACTGCGTCCACTTTCCCTTCACAGCATGGACATGCCCCCGTTGCTTCCTGTCTGCCTAGCTCTCTCTCCTCACTCAAACACATTCTCTCTCTCTCTCTCTAGCTGATTTTCTGAGCTGGGGTTATGGGTAACTTGTTATATGCTATGGTTTCTCCCAGAATTGTCTCTCAATGGTCAATTTATTTATATATTTTGATATACCTAATAAATTGTGAACACATGCATTCGTTTAGTTCTCATCAACAGCCGCTATGTTCTGAAGGGCGTATTAGTAACTTCACTCGTTAGAAATACAGATTGTTTTGAGCTCAGCTGCCTCCTTAATATTGTGTTTACCTCATCTCCTCCTCAATAGACGGTTTAACATTTATTATTTTTACCTACCCTGAAATTTAAACGGTGTGAACAATAACATCTTTATTATTATTATTTTCTTAGTAGACCTGAATAAATTTTATAAAATGATAATTGTGGCTTTCCTGTATAAAATGTACAATAATATATTATTATAATGTAAAAATATCACTTACTTTTTACCTTCAATATAATTTTTAGCGCGAATAGAAGATGTCAAAATAATAAGCATGAAATGATAATTTTTTCAAATCTCAAAAAAAGTAAAAAAGTTGGTGCAATTTATCTAAATTATTTGTACATTTATCTCGAAAATGTAACATGTGAACTCACAATCTAATAGTAAAAAATTATGCAAGTCAAGTCGCCAGCTTGGGTGCTTCACAAATCTCTAACATTCTCTTCCCTACCCAAATACACAAGGACGCTTTTGTTGTGGTGGGTCTAAGCTGTCCAGGCCAGACGTTTGGCGGAAAATTAGATTAAGGATTATATTCGACTCTAATACCAACTATAACGAATCAGATATTTAGCGATCCGATCCAACTCAAAACTTAAACTATTAAGTAAAACTAACAACCACGTCTTACATACCCATTTTAATTCCAATCTAATCTGGTGTGGAACAAACTTCTGACACCATATGCATACAATATTGAACCCGAAGCATTTTTCAATAAGTTGTTGCTCTTGCCCACATGCAACGAATTAAAATTTTAAACCTTTTATATATATATGTGTGTGTGTGTGTCATACATAGACTAAAATAAGTTTGGGAGACTTGGGGAGATGACCAAAACGCATGT